AGTAACTCTGTTAAAATAAATCAAATTTATAACGACTGCGATATATGTATCAATAACACATGTTGTGTGTACAGCGGCATGTGTTTAGAACGTCAGGGATATTCCCTGAAAAATGTAGGAGTTGACATCACAAAAACAGTACCCTCTCTCACAGTTGTGCAAATCGAGCTTCATAAACAAAGGGCAGTAACTCTCTCAACATGAAAAGAAATGAAACGTCACTGTGATATGGATATATTAAACATGTGCACATTTTAACTGTAGGAGGAGTTGATTTCACATGTTTAGTACCCTCTCTCACAATTAGGCAAATGAAGCTCCGTAAAACAGGGGCAGTAACTCTGTCGAAATGAAACGGGACTGCAATATGCTTAATGTAGCGGCCATAAAATTTCCGAGTCTCGTGATGGGATTCGAACGATGGACCTTCTGATCCGATGTCAGACGCCTTGTCCACATGACCAAAGAGGTTAACCCCGTCAGCAAGCTGACAAGGTAAGGATGTCATCTTTGGGATGACTCCACGCCCTGCTACATAATCATCAACATGTCGACATCTTGTGTGTAGAGTGTCAGGGATATTCTCTGGAAACTGTAGGAGGAGTTGATTTCACAAGCTCAGTACCCTCTGTGGGACGGACAGACAGACGGACGGACTGCGCCATGACATAACCCCCCTTCGGCCATTCTGGCCCGGCGGGGGATAAAAAGCAAATTATGCTCAGATAGTATTCGTGGTCTTTGTTCCATTATTCTGACTGGTGTCCTGGCTACGTGGACATAGACGCCTACCCATTTCAATGCCATGTCAGTTAATAACTTTGTCTCACGAGAGCCTTTTTATCATCAACACATGCCATTCCTTCTAGAAGCTTACGGAATGTTGTGAGTGGTGACGAATTATAAGAGCTATCGTTCGCGACCATTCATGTCAATTTGTTTGTTGTTAACGCCGCATTCAGCAATATTAAGCTATATGACGGTGGTCTTTGTAAATAATTGAGTCTGGGCCAGACAATTCAGTAATTGACATCATGACCACCGACCCACGCAATTGGGATGCGATGACATGCATTAACCAAGTCAGCGAGCCTGACCACCCGATCCCATCAGTCGACAAGCATAGTCGCCTTTTACGGCAAGCATGGGTTGCTGAAGACCTATTCTACCCCGGAATCTTCACGGGTTAATTCAATGGCAATATGTAATATGACGGCAGTGGTCAGTATCAAATACAGAAATACTGTGGTGATAGCAAAAGTCAGAGATGGGCTAGGGAGAGATTTTTAGGGAGATGTTTTGTTTTGTTTGTTGTTTAACGCCGCACTCAGCAATATTCGAGCTTTATGGCGGTGGTCTGTAAATAATCGAAAAAGGCCAGTCAAATTTCATGACCTGGCTGATTGTGTGTAGTGTCCCGTTCACTCAATGTAAATTATTAGTTATGGTGCCTTTAGTTGCCGTATACGGTGTAATGTTACGTAAGCAGAAATGTATTGGGCGAAGCTTACCTAACATGACACCGTATATAGGGCAACTTAAGACACCATAACAAATTTATATGCTGTAAAGTTTACACTCTCTGGTACCCATATCGCATTTGTGTTGTCAAAATGAAAACTTGACACTTACAACCTACCTTAAGAGTCAAAGGGAGACTACTCTTCAAACCTTAGAGGCCAATCCTTGTTGACAATTTTAACTATAATCTTTGTCAATGAAGTCACGAACATGATCCAAAAAACAGATTAATGTCCTTGCACGTCACAATTAATGATAGTAAAACATACACAAAAAACTGTCAAATAACGTTTTTCTGTACCAGAATTTTCATGTGAAATATGTCAGGTGGGTGTTGGAAAATCCAAGCTGGCTATTACTGACGGTATATACGGTCCCATATAAGGTCAGTAACAACCATCTTGGATTCTTACATACAGTATACGGGTTCATGTGGGGTCAGTAGTTCTGCTCTCTGGTTGGTCAATCCCACTTTGAGGCATAATAATAGTAGTTATGGGGTCTTTAGTTGCCGTATACCGTGTCATATTAGGTTAGCAGAATTATTATCCTCCTGTAAAGCAAAAATAACACCATATACAGCAACTAAGACACCATAACGAATTTATGCCGAAAAGTGTACAATATCTTGTATCTTTATTGCACATCATGTCAAAATGAAACCTTGGCACTTACAACTGGTATAAATGACATGCCATGTACATGTTTTCGATACAAGGCTTTAATGTAAACACAGACATGGAATGTATATTTGTGACGACTTGCCGTGATCAATTTTTTCTTTTTTTTGTTTAAGACCCCTGAACATCCTGGGTAGAATAGCTCTTCAGCAAACCCTGCTTGCCGTAAAAAGCTACTAACGGGAACATCTGGTTAGGCTCGCTGACTTGGTTGATGCATGTCATCGTACCACAATATTGCGTGGATCGATGCTCACCATTTCAATCACTGGATCGTCTGTTTGAGTCGGCTTGTTGTTTAACACCGCACTCAGCAATGTTCCAGCTATATGACGGCCGTCTGTAAATAATCGAGTCTGGACCAGACAATCCACAGATTCACATCATAAGCATCGATCCACGCAATTGGGACCGATGACATTCATCAACCAAGTCAGCGAGCCTGACCACCCGATCCCGTTAGTCGCCTTTTACGGCAAGCATGGGTTGCTGAAGACCTATTCTACCCCGGAATCTTCACGGGTCTAGTCGATATTAACACAGATCGCCGTCATACAGCTGAAATATTGCTAAGGGATTGTGCAGGTGTACAGTAATGTCCAGTTGGGCTCTGTAAACCGTCAAGAGACTAAACTCTTATTGCGATTGGACACACTAGACAACTAAACGTGTCCAATCGCAATAAGATTTTAAAGTCTCTTGACCGTTGTGCAGAGCCAAACTGATCGGAATATTGGGGACTTAATTACTGTACACCTGCCGGCGACGGAGGTCTGTAAACAAACGAAACACTCTGTCACGCGCATTTACTGATTTTGTTAAGTGTGAATTACGTCTGTTGTGTACACGTGCAGAAATTTGGCTGCTAACAAGTAAAGAAAAACGGTTCAGAAAACGATCTAGACATTTTACTTCATTTTGCAACACAGCCTCTTACGACAAGCATGGGTTGCTGAAGACCTATTCTACCCCGGAATCTTCACGGGGCGCAAAACCAAATCAGCAAGCCTAACCTAACCAAACCATATATCGAAGGTATTCGTGAAGATGTTGCTCGCTGAATGTTGTTTTCATGCCTGTACCTCCGGTGGATGTCATCTTGAGTGTTTATGGTCGCTTTCCGGTAGATTATGTTCCGTTTTCAGCTTCGACTACATTTACTTATAGTTTACTTTCCAATCTTTTCCGATGAGTATAAGGGCCAGTTTGAGGATCTCGATGAACAATGTTGTGATGAGAGTATTTGAGGGGTTTGAGAAGTTGCCTGACGATCTTTTTCACTGCTCGTTGTCTCTGGGACGTGTTGTTTCAGGCAATGAAGTCGGCCAGATAATAGCCATCGAAATACTCCATTTATCATCACATGGAGTTCATGATGAGAAAACAGGTCATAGACTCTTTTTATATTTTTGTGCTTTAGCTGAGCCATGATGCTAAACTCTGTAACAGATGACTTGGATTTATATCAGGGTTGTTTGTTGAGTTGATTTTCGCGAGAATGTGGATGCGTACGTTCGCGTAACTTTTTCTACCCACGGATGATGAGGCCAAGGAATATATTCATAAACTGTGATGGCTTCCACCATGCCCACGATGATGGAAAAGAGACGTCCGCGCGGGTGATAGATGATGGCGATGTTAAAATTGCGAAGCTTTCTAGACACCGTTCCTCTCAACGAAGATGTCTCCTTTCTTTCTCTCCGGACCCGTGAAGATCTGGGGTAGATTAGGTCTTCGGCAACCCATGCTTGTCGTATAAGGCGACTATCCTTGTCGTAAGAGGCGACTTACGGGATCGGTTGGTCATGCTTGCTGACTTGGTTGATGCATGTAATCGTATCCCAATTGCGTGGATCAGTGCTCTAGATGTCAATCACTGGATTGTCTGGTCCAGCCCAACCAACCGACAAAATCGAGTCTTGATCAGACAATCCTTTGATTGACATCGTGAGCATCGATCGACAAGTTTTGAATTAGTGTTTTTAACGATACACTCATTTTTCTCGCATTGTAAGTAGGAAGCTCTTAAAACGTGTAAAAATACCACGCCGTCATCAGTCCTTCGTATCGCCCCCTTCCAGGTATGAAAACGATGGTGAAGTGGAAAACATTTGAAGTCAATTTCATCATCGTTACCTTTGTTTGTTTCTTGTTAAACGCCGCACTCAGCAATATTCCAGCTTTATGACGGCGGTCTGTAGATAATCGAGTCTGGACCAGAAAATCCAGTGATTGATATCACGAGCATCAATCCACGCAATTGGGACCGATGACCGTGCCTCAACCAAGTCAGCGAGCCTGACCACCCGATCCCGTTAGTCGCTTTTTACGACAAGCATAGTCACCTTTTACGGCAAGCATGGGTTGCTGAAGACCTATTTTACCTCGGATCTTCACGGGTCAAGAACAGACTCGATTTGACCGCCGTCATGTAGAGAGTCTAGCGGGAATATTGCTGAGTGCGGTGTTTTAAATGTTGAATAGAATAACAACGTTCATGTTACATTCTACCAAAATATTTACCGTCTTTGTTACATATATAAATGCATGTTTCCATGCATAAAAAAAATACAAGCATATCGTAGACTCTCTTTTCCACAGCAACCCATGCTTGTTTAAAAAGCGACGATGCTTGTCGTAAGAGATCCACGTAATTTGAATCGATGACATGCATCAACCAAGTCACCGAACCTGACCACCCGATCCCGTTAGTCGCATCTTGAAGATTCCGGGGTAGAATAGGTCTTCAGCAACCCATGCTTGTTGTAAAAGGTGACCATGCTTGTCGTAAAAGTCGACTAAAAGGATCGGGTGGTCAGGCTCGTTGACATGGTTGATACATCGATTATGTTACAGACCGCCGTCATATAGCTGGAATATTGCGGAGTGCGGCGTTAAACAACAAACCAACCAACCAACCAATAATCCATCAATAGCGGGTTCATCAGATCCCGTTAGTCGCCTCTTACGACAAGCATAGTCGCCTTCTACGGCAAGTATGGGTTGCTGAAGACCTATTCTACCACGGATCTTTACGGGTCGGAATGATTCTTACTCATCCATCAAGCTAAATGGTCATAAGTTTACATGAATAGTATTTTCTAACATGCATCTAGCATTAGTTGTGTATTTTAGGTTCTGGTGTTATTGTCAAAGAGGCATTATATCTAGCCCAGGCGGATCGCTGAAGTCTTTGAACAACTATCAGTTCCCTGGCTTCCATCTCATGACAGTCATACAAAGTCACTGTGAAGGATTCACTCCAGGGCGAGGACGCAATGTCCACCGACGGCCATCGCCACTTCCCGTACTTGCAGAAATCACTGACCCTCCTCAGGGCCTGTTTAAAGAACGCCGTCTCCAGGAACAACCCCCTCCGCTCCGCCTCCACCTGACGCCAGAACCGGGCATGGAAATGTTCAAAGATGGCGACGTCCGCCATTTGCCACTTTTTCAACCGCTTCCGGTCGTCCTCGCTGAAAGCGAAATCCACTTTATTTGTTCCCGGGTTACTTCTCAGGTAAATCATGTCCTTCATGCTCCAACACAACCTGCGACGCAGAAGCATCAGAGATTCGTCAAAATAGTCCATTAGTAAAACGAAGTCGAAATCCGAATCCAACGAGCTGACATACGCGTCTACCACACTACGGTTATGGAAGCTCTGTCGGGGCAACCCGAAGTCATACGCCACATGGTTATATACTTCCATACTGACCCCATACTTCCAAGGGTTCTTTAACCATTCTGAAAATATGTATTTGGTAGAGTTGATACCGGGCACCGTTTTCTTTAGTTTACCCACAAGTCCATAGTAGAAGGCGGCGGAGACAAACCTTTCTTCCGGTTCTCGAACGATGGCTAAATAGAAGGAATCTTTGGGTATTAGTTTCTTGAACATTGTTCTGTTATATATTACATGGTTGCATAGTATGTTATAAGTCTCGTTGCGAGGAATCGGAATAACTGACTCCATGGTAAAATTCCCATTGTATCCAAGGTAATTGAAGCCATATGACCCCCTCTTCTTGTTTGGAAGAACAATGTTGAGCTGGTTCCTGATAGCGTAGCGTTGTAAGATGTTGGCTACTGTTGTGCTACCGGACTTGTGTACCTTCAAAAATGCAATGTTGTTCATTTTGGAACATTGTTTCGACACATCGGTATATGGTGATGATTGGTTGTGGTTTCTTGGCATGGAAGAACCCTTCCCCCATGCGCTTGATGAATCTCGTATCCAGTGGTTGCCTGGCAACGAGCGGGGTGACGTCATAAGGCTGCCGAAAAGGATGCCGAGGCCGCCAGCAATAAGCAACCTGAGAATGAATTGAAAAAATGTTATTTGAGTGAGTGAGTTTGGTTCAATGCTGCTTTGAATATTATTTCAGTTATATCACGTCGTGTAAACTGGATCATCTTGCCGAGGCAATGGCTTTAACTGACTATAAAAGTCCAGTTTCAACCCTTGCCGAGCTAGGCAGGGATTCCGCAGTTACATACTTGCTGGACCAACGAGTCTATGCATAGTCCAACCAAAATCGCGTAACGAACTAGACATCCGGTTTGTAAACAGGATTTCAACGTGCAGGTTTCGGTCGACAGCAGGATTTCCAAAGCGTGCGTACCGTCAACTGGGACCCGTGAAGATTCCGGGGTAGAATAGGTCTTCAGCAACCCATACTTGCCCTAAAAGGCGACTATGCTTGTCGTAAAAGGCGACTAATGGGATCGGGTGGTCAGGCTCGATGACTTGGTTGATACATGTCATCGATCCCAATTGCGTGAATCGATGCTCATGATATTAATCACTGGATTGTCTGGTCCAGACTCGATTATTTACAGACGGCCGTCATATAGCTGAGTGCGGCGTTAAACAACAAACAAACAAACAACATATACTGTCAACTGGGCGTCGACCGATATTTTGCAAATGTTGGCATATTTTTAATCAAGGCGCTCAAGTAATTTGATGCACCTCGCGGGTTAAGACCCGTTTTATTACAATATAGATCAAACGATCAGATCGTTTTGACTGGGCGCCGCCATTTTGTTTGAAGCAATTGCAAGTGATATGAGAGATGGAATCTGATTGGTGAATAGGAAGGGCATAGAATAGCCACTGGTGACGCTACGATCAAGCCCAGAAATTCCAGCCTAGTTCAGCATGGATGGATACTGGACTTGTATAGTCAGTTGACGCCCTTGACTCGGAAAGATGCAACTGGATGGGGGAGAAATATCACTGAAGTAATACAGGTTTACCACTTTTGTGTGACTCGTGAAGATCCGGGTTAGAATAGGTCTTCAGCAACCCATGCTTGCCGTAAAAGACGACTATGCTTGTCGTAAGAGGCGACTAACGGGATCGGATGGTCAGGTTTGCTGACTTGGATGCTGCATGTCATCGATCCCAATTACGTGGATCGATGCTCATGATATCAATCACTGGATTGTCAGGTCCAGACGCGATTATTTACAGACGGCCGTCATATAACTGGAATATTGCTGAGTGCGGCGATAAACAACAAACCAGACAGACTACAACATCAATATTTATACAATGTCACACTAGGCACATGTAATGCCAGAAAGACTACAACATTACGGCGCCTTAGACGACTGGGCCACCAGTGCATCAACAGTGAAAATGTCAGTGAATGTATCTAGCCAGTGTGCTCTTGTATCTAGCTGGTCGGTATTGTAAGGGATAGGGGCAACTGTCGCCACCTGTCGCGTTATCTTCTCCACACAAACAGTAGTGGTAGAAATAGCGCATGGGTATTTTACTCTGGAATGTATACAAGTACTGTAAGATAAGGTTGAATTCTTTAAAACTGTCATAGGTCATGTGTGCACATGTGAATACTGTTTACAGCAACTGTTAGCTATGCTCATGTCCTATATCGCAACTGCCAGTAAATCAGATCTTCACCCGATTATGTAAGAACAATTGAAGTTCTGGGTTAGAATAGGTCTTCAGCAACCCATGCTTGTAAGAGGCGACTAACGGGATCGGGTGGTCATGAACAAAGTCAGCGAGCCTGACCAACCGATCCCGTTAGTCGCCTTTTACGCAACTCTGCAATATGAATTGTGGCGCCTAAGACGACTGGGCCAACCGTGCGTGTCTATATGGTAGAGTATTCAAATATATAAATTATGGTGAAATCATACATAATAAAATGTAAAACGGTACTCAACATACTACCCCTATTGGGATCAAGTTTGTCAGTGGGAGTCATTCAGCTGGAATATTGTTGAGTGCGGCGGTAAACAACAAACAAACTACATGTATTTGTTAGGCAATGTGTTTTTGTTGTTGCACTCAGCAATATTCCAGCTATATGAAGGCGGTCTGTAAATAATCAAGTCTGGACCAGACAATCCAGTGATTAATATCATGAGCATCGATCCACGGAATTGGGATCGATGACATATATCAACCAAGTCAGCGAGCCTGACCACCCGATCCCATTAGTCTCCTTTTACGACAAGCATAGTCACCTTTTACGGCAAGCATGGGTTGCTGAAGCCCTATTCTACCCCGGAATCTTCACGGATCATGTGCGTAAGAAATGAGTATTTACGTACATGCATATGGATTTCCAACAGCGACGACGCATATCCACGTTTCCAGCAGTAATACTGGGCAGACTAGGACACAGAAATACTATCACATAGAAAGGAAGTCATATGGACTATCAGATAAGAGTTTTATATATAACGATTCGAAGTATGGCAGATACCATATGACAATCTCACGAACTAGAACAACGTGACCGACTGAACTGATTAGTTTAAACATATATTTTATTCACTGTCAGTATAGACTTGACCAGTGATTGACAGACCCATGAAGGTCCGTGAAGGCAGAATAGGTCTTCAGCAACCCATGCTTGTCTTAAAATGCGTACCCGTGAAGATTCCGGGGTAGAATAGGTCTTCAGCAACCCATGCTTGCCGTAAAAGGTGACTATGCTTGTCGTAAAAAGCGACTAACGGGATCGGGTGGTCAGGCTCGCTGACTTGGTTGATACATGTCATCAATCCCAATTGCGTGGATCGATGCTCATGATATCAATCACTGGATTGTCTGGTCCAGACTCGATTATTTACAGACCGCCGTCATAAAGCTGGAATATAAGTGCAATAATCTTGGACGCGACGTTCAACCCAATTTCACCTCACCAATGTGGGTACTTTTCAATTTGTTTCTTTAATACAATATCAGTATTCCAGTCGATCTCTAAATTGTTATCACTATTCAGGCTAGTATCTATCCCTGTTGCTGTAAACAAAACAATGCCTATTAAATAGTGTAAAGAAATATTGGAAAACCGGTCACGTGTAAAGCAAAAGTTTGCAAAAGTGAAACTAGGAATAATATGATCAGACAAGGGTGACAACACAAAGTAAATGTAAAGTAAGAAAAAAGATAAATTCTTAACAGCATAATTATATCATCTTATGCAATAAATGACTATTACAAACATGATGATGACATACCTGGATGACACAAACTCCTCTATTCACAAAGACAGTTAACAGTTGGAAAAGCATCATTACTGTGACAATTGGAATTGTGTATTGCATAGTTATACTTTACGCCCTGTATAGTAGAACTATTAAAACACACAATAATGAACAATCAATAGAACACTAACCGCTGTCAGTAAATCAAAGTCTGATGTCCCATGACACAGAATGCAATGGGCTTTACAACCTCCATTCCTCATGCCACAAATTAGTCAACATGTGAGCAAACTGCGCATACTTTTTGGATTTCTCTTCAGTGAATACTCCACCCAAAACCAATTGCTGTAAGAGGCCAAGAATCTGAAAATACTGTCTTGGGTTTGGTTTGGTTTGTTTTTTACCGCCGCACTCTGCAATATTGCAGCTATATGACGGCGGTCTGTAAATAATCGACTGTTAATCCAGTGATTAATATCATGAGCATCGAATGAGCATAGGGATCGATGACATGCATCAACCAAGTCAGCGAGCCTGTTTACCCGATCCTGTTAGTCGCCTTTTAAGACAAGCATAGTCACCTTTTACGGCAAGCATGGGTTGCTGAAGACCTATTCTACCCCGGAATCTTCCTTGGATAGGGTATCCAAGCAATACAGTACACTGCCAGCAAATGCCATGCACTGACTTTCTGAATGTTGGGCAAGAAGGGAGGTTTACATTTTCAGCTTTGACAATTGCATGGGTAATTGGGTCCTTATTCACGAACACCACCAGACCTAGCGAATGTTGGACACTGTCGGTACAGCCTTGTCTTTTTCGTCATGAGAAAAATCCTGAAAAATCCAATAAACAATGAACAAAAACTGTCAGACCGAATTGCAATGTTATAATTTTTAAAAATATATTAAATACTACTAGAGTAATGCTTCTCATTAATATGACCTTCAATTAATTAAGTTATGAGGGAAGTTGTTTCGTAGTAACGAGTCCATATAAGGAAAGTCATATGATCAGACACGTGACGTATTACGTCAACTATGTCCCGCCCATAAACAACACGTAGTCGACACCACGAAAATGCGACTTCACTTACTATCATAAAACTCTCGGCCCAAATAGGGGTCCTTTTTGCTATAAAAAATGCTTCCTAACGGGTTTCGCACTTTGGATTGATAACGTCTTATGCCACGTTCCTACACAAAGTTCATTGTGGGTAATGCACGGAGTTTGGTCGTATACATTCACATGACATCGAGAAATTCCGACCCGGTGTGTTTTGATTCAAATGTGGATTGTATTTTCAATATGGTTAGACTGCCAGTGGTTGGTCTAAACACCTGTGTTTAACATTGGCCAGTTTCATGTCATAAGTTAACTTTTAAAATCATATCAGTCATGAAGGAGTAAGTCTTTAGACACCTTTATTAAGTTAGAGGTGATAGTAAAACTCCGCGAACAACTTTTTGAAATGTGTTTATTACACTGAACAGCAAAACTACGACACTAAACAGAAAAATCAGTTGAATAACATGGTGTGTCATTAAAAAGTTAAAATATTGCGTCCAAACTCATGTTATATTATCTTGCAAACGCTTTACATGATATAGTTCAGTAGTCTTTTATATACAATACAAGTGAGCAGTGTTTAAAACTTAAACGCTGAGGTATTAACGGCTATGTGCGATCTAACTATACGCAATTCGTATAGTTATTATGCAGTGTAGTGTTTAAAATGTAAGCGCGAAATGTATAAAACAATAACACTCTAAGCACAGATATTTTACAGTCTAGTGTGCAAATACAATAGTAGAATTAGGCTTATAAAGTTTGTCTGCTGTTTAACGTTTCACTCGGCAATATTACAGCAAAATGACGGCTAATACTTAAGAATAAGCCGGGTCGAAATCAAGCCTTCGTGTGCCGAGCGTAGGTTTTGACAAGGCTAAACGCAAATTCAAGGTGACCAGGAGTACCTGGACCAGCACGTCTGTACATTGTGTATAGGATTAAATGGGGCATAAATGGTACAATACAGTCATTGAAGAGACTATTTATGTCACAGGGTATGCTCCAACAGTTTTCAATGCCCAATGGCTACCACTCTGCCTTAGCATATTGCCGTTGACCTGAGAGGGGTCGACGTTCTCAGTTGCTATTGTATGTGTAGCGTGTGTCACACAATCTTCAACAGTCTCAAACACGACACGAAAGAACATCATTTCCCAAATGTATTCATGCTAGTAAATGAACGCGTAATCCATACGAGGTTCATACGAGGATATTGTTTGTTTGTTGTTTAACACCACACTCAGCAATATTCCAGCTATATGACGGCGGTCGGTAAATAATCGAGTCTGGACCAGACAGTCCAGTAGTTGACATCATGAGCATCGATCCACGCAGTTGGGATACGATGACATGCATCAACCAAGTTAGCAAGCCTGACCGCCCTATCCCGTTAGTCGCCTTCTAACGACAAGCATGGGTTGATGAAGACCTATTCTAACACGCATCTTAAAGGGCTACGTACGATTAACGTTGTGGAATAACGTTTTATATTATATATATTATTTTGTATTTATATCAGAGCTAAACATATATTTTCAGAGCAAAACATTCATAATGATGAAAAATATGATAAATAACATTCTGCGATGGTGTGATTCAGTTATCTCTATTGTTTGTCAAGATTAATTTATATTTCCCCCCAAGCGTTGGAAATCGGGTAATAAACCCTACGTCTCTACCGAGTGCGCTAAACACCCGCCACTGACTTTGGCGAAATATTTAACAATGTCGGCGATAGACAAAACAAGGTGGCATATCCTTCAACCGTAATCCGAGACGTTGTCGTTATAGACCATTCTCAAGAACACTGATTTTAAATAGTGAGTAAAAACTAAAGACTGTGGACGTGAATAACATTCTGTGTGTTATATCTAATATTTAACACAAACCTCGTACTCTTTATACCTTGCTTTCACATAAAAAGCACGTTATTTGTACATATTGAAGGAGTAAAATACATAGAGGATATTCCATGTGTCGGGTGGGTTTGGCATCCCTGCCGCGAGGAGCATCCGTGATGTTACATAATGTCTGCGCATGGGGACAACGCGTGACTATCTCGGGTACATGTGTTCCCCTGATGTGTTTTTTCACAACTGCTTACACTGACAACGTGTAATGTTAGTTTTAATACAATGATATTACAGATTTCGATTCCAACATCTGAAGTTTCCATTGGAATTGATAAGTGCTTTGCGCCGTTTGTTGGTTTTGTAATAGACGAGCAAGTGCATTCATATGCCATATAATTAAAAAAAAATCGAAAATTAAACACTCTGTTCCGTGCTAATAATGCTCGCTTGATATTCAGTAAAGGCCATGGTATAAATGAACACATGCAATACCTTCCTCGGTTTGACACAAGAAAACCAGCTCTGCAAAGTCTCTCATGTTTCCTTATATCGCACCCCTTCCCTTTGATTGTATTCACAAACCTCAAAATGTCTGTTATTGAGAATATTAAATAGTTTTTACACCAAGAACCAGTCAATACATCTTACATTCTCTAAACTTGCAAGAGCGCGGTGTTGGAATATCTCCAAAAAGACACCCCTATTGTTGTAATCCCCTAATATATACTGAAAAACATATTCTGTCTCAATCACAAATCCCTGCACATAGAAAGAGGGTGACTAAAACACTGTGATTGATGCAGACACCAAACACGACCGATTGAATTTTTTATGATAAAACTACAGAAAATTTATTAACTTATATCTAGATATGGAGCCTTTTGTGGTATCCAAGGTTTTTCATTCAAGTTGATACAATGTTTGACGGTCAATGGTGAACGTGTTTACGTGAGGTTTTCAAAAAGCTTCTCTCGACACTCGGTTGCGTTCACATTGTCAGTCACTGTTTGAAACCGAACCACCGCCACCTTGCGGGGTATTTAAGTCAGGTTTGGGCTTTAACATGTATCAATGATCAAGTTATGCACACATGCTGTTTATGTTCTGCTACGTTCATTGTTTCATATGTGACATTCGCGTAACACACTTCATAAACACTAAATCTGCACTTACCATTTCGTACAATGAAATGAATCAATTCATTTGGTATATTCTGTATATTTGTTATCTCTGTCACCGATGCGTTGAACGAAGTCGTGATCGTCTAGTTGTTCTGCTAAACGGTTCACTTAATATACATACAATGTAATAATTTCAGTAATGTTCAGTTTCTACTGTAACCATCTGGTGATATGTTTGTTTTTTGTTTGTGTTGTAGCTTCCATTAAATCAATTATGGGTAGAGGGTGGTGAAAGACTCATGTGGAACCACCATGATACCATCGGCCCTAGAACAACTAACCACGTCGAGGGATGGCATTCCAAGATGTCGAAGCTCGCTGCCTGCCACCCGAACGTATACAAGTTCATCAACATGATCAAGAATGAACAAAACTTTACAGAAGTGACTATCACGCAGTAACATAACGGTGGCACCAGCTGCAAGACAAACTAGACAGAGAGAAGAGACTGCCCTGCAGCTGGTGTTAAATCTCCCATCGAGTATGGTGATGCTGTATCTCACCTTATCGGACTCTAAGTGATTTTGCTGTAGCCAGGCAAGCTACATTGTATTAGATTGTCTTGAAAATTTGTACATCTGAATATAAATGGAATTTTTAATTAATAATGAATACTACTGTATTATATTGTCTTGAAAATTTGTACATCTGTACATAAATGTAATTTTTAATTAATAATTAATAAAAACCTATACTACTACATACATTTATTGTGTTATATCTACCTAGACAGGCTGTAGTCTGGCTATAGTCAGTCAGTGAAAGTGAAACAGTCTATAGTGTTAATCACCATTGTTGTAGGGATTATCACGGGCTACTGATTTTTAAACTAGAACAATAGCTGCTGGCAAAGTGAGAACACCCCGCCTATTCTACCCCGGGTCTGTTTGCTTAGTCAGATTCCCTTCACTATAGTGGTAATGAGGTTATGTGAGCAGTGTTGACAAAGGTATCAGCAAATGTGAATGTGCAGCAATGTGGACCTACAAGTTCACATGGTGGAAACATACATGGTCCTCTTGTCCTCCAGTAATATGAGCATATAAAACTTATTCAAAGACATACCCTTGGTTTCCGAAACGATACAAAACTTCCTAAGGCATGCGAACATTTAAAAATTTACAAATGTTTTCTGCCCAAAGTAATACTCATTTCATTTTTTGTAGATTTTGAAACTAGTCAGTAATTTTAGACACTAGGCCTATCAAAAGAAGTACATTAAAACACACTATACTATGATTATATATATCGAAACACGCGATTCACTATGAAATAAGTATTTACTGGGGTATCCACTTCTGAATTCACGCTTGGCCATTGCTGAAAATCCGGTCATAGCATATATGACAATGCTGCTTGTGAATACGGCAAAAAACGATGGTCATAAGTTCCAAAGGTGTAGTTTCCCATGAAACAACCGCCCAAATTTGGATTATATAGTGAATCATACGCAAATACGGTCATTGCACGCATTTCCTACTATTTTGAGTTTGTTTCAAAGTTGTAAAACCAAGCTTTTTGTCCTGTGAATAACATTCACTATGACGATTGGATACGATTCAATACACTCGCCCACCTGGGCCTACTGTGTAGAGCACTGGGTACATGTACATGGGTCATGGTGAGGCGCAGTCAGCGACGCGGCTGTTGTGATGAAGAGAGGCAACAACTGATGGTGACAGTGCGTGTGTCCAATATCACACCTACCGTCCAGACATACGGGTGTTAGACAAGGTAGGTGCATACCCCATAATGTAAAACTTCAAGTGACTTTGTCAGTGTGTGAGTTTATTGGAGTATGAACCTTCGTAAGAACGTCGGAGCTTGACGTTTCTTTCATACTTACATGTTGACTTTGGGTGGGTGGGTGTCACATTTTGAATTCTTTATTTCAATGAGGTGACTATGTCAGGTCAGTGATCAGACAAGAAAGTATGGCGGGGTAAGTGATGAATTTGTGTTCAGTACTCATTGTCCAAAATATGGGACGGCCAGCTGAATCGCGTTTACCCGGCTATACGATGCGTAACGGTATCGTTCACATTTACCATATTTAATCTAATAGGGGTATATTTTAGGACGGCCAGGTCTGTATTTCTTCATGGTATGTTAGGGGATATTCATGATAAGGTTTCTAAATGGGATGCACACATTTACTGGTTCACTAAACCTGGCTTGTCGACAGACCAAGGTTTTACTACCAATTAGAGGGTTTACTCAGTATCTGTTATCGGAAATACAGTAATCTTGCACCCTTTCTTGACATACACACCACCCTTCATACTGTAATTAGTGTACTACAAGGTAGTAGTTTAATACATGTGGTAGAAGCGGGGTGTACGGGATTTTCCTAGCTGAATGGGACCGGTGAAGATCCGGGGTAGAATAGGTCTTCAGCAACCCATGCTTGCCGTAACAGGCGACTCTGCTTGTCATAAGAGGCCGGATCGGGTGGTAAGGCTCGCTGACTTGGTTGATGCATGTCAAGGTATCCCAGTTGCGTGGATCGATGCTCATGATGTCAGTCACTGGGTTGTCTCGTCCAGACTCGATTATTTTCTGACCGCCGTCATATAGCTGGAATAGTGTTCAATGCGGCGTTAAACAACAAACACGCAAACAAACAAACTTGCCTGAAAAGACACCTTGTGTAACGTGTTTCAGTATGGGGCATGACCGAAGCCCTAGAAATTCGCAGGAGTCAAGCTTGCCGAACATGCTCATTGCTCACCCATCCAGCTTCTCTCCGCAACGTTGCTTAACTGCGCCGGATATGGGACCTGTGCCAATAAGCGCCCGCACGTTTTTAAACATTTCAGTTGTCCTTGAAGATTACTCGGACATATCTGCTCATGTTTAGTGTGTGTGTGTGTGTGTGTGTGTGTGTGTGTGTGTGTGTGTGTGTGTGTGTGTGTGCTTGTACTAGTCCGGACTGATGCCAATTAATAGTGCTAGCACACTGAGATACATTTCCGGAGTTTAACATGAATATCCCACTCAGACACAGTATACCAGCCGACCAGCCCTTGTTAAGCCCCTTAATGCCGGGCGCCAGACAGGATAACAACACGTTCCATCTTTTAACGTCTTTCGGTGTGACGCGGTCGGGGATCGAGCCCCGGACCTTCCGCTCTTCGGGCGGACGCTCTACCACTAGACCACAGAGGCGGTCCTGAACATTTAAGAACGAAGTAGATGTGTATTCTGTAACAAACACATTATATGTCCAGATAAATTAAACTTCGAATACAGTATTGTCATAATCTAAACAATCAGTGTTTGTTTGTTTTTAGCCATCCATGACCACATCCTGTTGTTGTTGCCCGAGCGACGCCAGCTAGCAGACACCGCCCCCATGGCGATCACTGTGCACAGAACAAGATGTTTGTTCTAGTAAGTATATCAATTGTTAGCATCACCCACTCACCTTCAACCAGGGAGTCTAGGGCAGAATAGGTCCCCACAACTCCATGCTTATGCTTGCCTGAGAAGCGACTTAATACAAGGCCGTAGTTAACTTTTTTGACGGGGTTGTGTGTGTGTGTGTGTGTGTGTGTGTGTGGCGGGGAGGGGGGGGGGGGGGGGGGGGGGGGGGGGGCATATATTTGTGCAAGTATCACTTGTCCCCTAATTGTATTTTCATGATTACCATCATAAGCATCGATCCACACAATTGGGATACGATGTCATGCATCGACCAAGTCAGCGAGCAAGGCCACCCGATTCCGTTAGTCGCCTCTTACAGGACAAGCATAGTCACCTTTTACGGCAAGCATGGGTTGCTGAAGACCTATTCTACCCCGGATCTTCACTGGTCCTATGTTAAAGTATAGTGTAGAAGTTAGGATATTCGTAACCAGGCACACTTTCACAAAACAACCTTTGCTACACCATTCTACAGTTCAACCGTTTCACGAAGCAACCCGTATCTCGATCTTAACTAGGTGCACTAACCTCAACGCAAAGGCTTGCGATCGTTAGGTTATTTTACATCGTCTGCTGAAAAGATTACTCGATATTTTATCGAATTTCATTGCCTATTAACTCAATCATCAAACTTCATAATATATTTAAGCCTAGAACTGTTTCCTTCAAGGAAAACCCAAAGTAATACAGGTCTTACACATTTACCAAGTTGGTAAAACCCGCAAGCAAGGCTATTACGGCGAATCTGGGATTCGAACCCACGATCATAGATTCCTGGCCCACCTAAGGGACACAACTCTGCACATCATGTTAGATCACTCAAGATTATATGTTAAACTATAAGTCGAAGGTTTATTTCATTTATTTTTAAATATTTTTTGAAACCTCTGTTCACAGTCTCCTGGTTTCCGTGGCTTCGGTGTTGTACATACTTGTTTTGCTGGGGGCGCCAAGTCACAGAAGCAGCAGAATCAGACTTTATGCAAAAAGAAATATCCTCTACAACCGTGCCCACAATCCTGGTTTAGTGACAATGCAGGACGGGACAATGCATGAGAAACACATGCTGAAAGAAAATCCCATCTCTGGTCCTCAGCTCAAGGAGGCCGGAATTCCACCAGCAAACACCCTCTACCGTGAATACAAGCATCGGTCTCACAGGGGTTCCAGTCATGAAGTTAAACTGGATCAACGGCCGCATAGGGAGCAGCATGGAGAAGATACCGAAGAGCCAAATATTTCATCGGAAAAATATCATTCTCAGCATTCCAGAAATACATGGGAGCAGCCAAATATTCCATCGGAAAAATATCATTCTCAGCATTCCAGCAATACATGTCCCCCCAAACACAATGTCGCCTTCTTGAAGGTTCACAAAGCCGGCAGCAGTACCATGGCAAACATCCTGCAGAGGTTTGCCGTCAGGAACGACCTCAACGTGGTCCTCCCCGACAAACTAGTTGGAGAAAGCGGTTTCAACATTCTTGGTTACGGACCTTTCTTCTCGGCGAACATGGTCATCCCCGTTCCCGAAGGACAGACCTTCAATATACTGTGCAACCATGTTGTGTACAACAGGGTAGTGTTGGACAAGCTCATGCCCCCTGGCACGTTCTATGTCGCCATCGTGAGGAGTCTTGAAGAAAGGTTCATTTCCGCGATGAACTATTTTGGTCAGGTATATTATATCGAAGACAAAATGAAAATGACTGGTGCGTTTAAACGAGAGGACATTCTGTCACACTTCTTCACCAATCAAAAGGTTCACGGGATATACAAGGAGTCTATAATAAACAGTATTGCGTATGATTTTGGGTTCCCAACGTACAGTGACAATGAGGAATATGCCCAGAGCTACCTTCAGAAGATCGATAAGGAGTTTGACTTTGTGATGATCATGGAATATTTTGACGAGTCTCTCGTGTTGCTAAGGCGACGTCTGTGTTGGGGTCTCCGTGACATCCTCTATATCAAACATAACTCCAATCGACATCCTGTTCTTCCTCTCGCAGAGGAAGATAGACAGAAACTGTACGGATCACAGAAACTAGATCATAGGATATACCAGCATTTCTACGGTAAATTCTGGGATGAAATTCTAGCTGAAGGACGTGACATATTTGATGAAGTTGCTAACTTTAAACTTGTGCAAAAGCAAGTTTTTGACTTTTGCAGTAGTGATGAAAAACAACAGAGAGTTCTTAATATTCCGTCGTCGAAATGGAACGAAGATTTCAGGCTGACAGCGTCCGATTGTAGAGGGATGCTGGTGTCAGAACTGATGCAGGTTCAGAAGCTGATGGACAGGGCCAGGGAACGGCTGAGGAGGGACGGAACGCAAGAACAATGGGGGGCGTATGTTCAGAACTTTCGGCATAACAACAAAATGCGGATGAAAAATATAGAAACATATAACGATATGTTTTACGTTAAACCCGCAAATGTCACATGATATCTCATATGTTATTGCAATGAAACACGACAAAAAATGTTTACCCACTTTGGAAACTCGGTTAAAGCCTGCGCCTTGGTCTTGATGAAGAACGTTGCGTTTAGTGGCATTGAGCAATAGACAAGGTTTGTTTACACGGCTACCTGTAAATAATTGGGTTTGGTTTGCAAACCATTGGTGTAGAGTATGAGCAACTGGGTATGATAGCATCATATCAACCAGTTCACAGAATTCCAAATTCCGGACCCGTGAAGATTCCGTGGTAGAATAGGTCTTCAGCGACCCATGCTTGCCATAAAAGGCGACTATGCTTGTCGTAAGAGGCGACTAACGGGATCGGCTGGTCAGGCTCGCTGACTTGGTTGATGCATGTCATCGTATCCCAATTGCTGATGATGTCAATCACTGGATTGTCCGGTCCAGCCTCGATTATTTACAGACTGCCGCCATCTAGATGGAACATTGCTGAGTGCGACGTTAAACGACAAAAACCTCCAAATTCTACTCTTTGTTGTTGTTCTGACAAGAACAAAGTATCGGGGACTTATTCAGCCCCTGTATCATCAGGGGTAGAGCCTGACTCTGTGGCAAGACAGACCAGCTGAGGGTGGGTATGTGTGGCCTCCATGTGATAATCCATGGGCATTTTAAACCATATTTACAATAAATTATTGATTTTACAAACCGAACCTCTTGCTTATATCTCTCCTGACATCATAGTCACAGAATTCCTTTACAGCTACGACTAGAATACCAAGGATACCTTTTTTCATTATCACACCATTTGTGGCTACCACACACAACGTTTTGTGCAAGTACACACAATAGCACCGCGCAGGACTCATAGAATAAGCTTCAGACATTGTATTTTGTTTGTTGTTTAACGCCGCACTAGACAATAGTCCAGCTATATGACGGCGGTCTGTAAATAATCGAGTCTTGACCAGACTTCGTTAAAGGTTAAAACATTGTATAACTACAACCAAGAAAAAGACCTATTTGAGTAAGACTTGATAATTACCGTTTCCGAAGCATTCGCTGCAGAACGTCGATAGGTGGCGCCCTAGCCTTGCTCCAAGTCTCCACAGAATGAAAGTCCATGGATATATTTGTTGTTTAACGCCGCATTATATTTCAGCTATATAACGGCGGTCTGTTAATAATATCCAGTGATTGGCATCATGAGCATCGATCTACGCAATTGGGATACGATGACATACATCAACCAAGTCAGGGAGCCTGGCCACCCGATCCCATTAGTCGTCTCTTACGACAATCATAGTCGCTTTTTACGACAATCAGTCGTGTAAGTAATGTTTTACACAGCAATCAGCTACAGTTGATGTCCGTATATTCAAACTAGTGGTCGACAGCATGAACAACAATTCACCCTGTAAGGGTACAGTGAGTTTGGTTTTATGACCATTTGAACAGTGTTTCAGCTTTACCATTGCCTGTCTGCTTAATGTGTTAGGAAGTGGCCCAGTGGATACAGCATCTGCCAAGAGAGTGAAAGGGCTGTGGTCGGATCCTCTGACTGCGTCATACCCTGCCTGGCGCTCGGCAATAAGGGGATAAAACAAGGACTGGTTCGCTCGGAGTCAGTACAACGTGTCGGAGTTGGGTATCCATGTTAAACTGTGGCATGATGTCGCAGTTGGCTGGCACAATAAAACCACTGGCATAGGTCCATAATAGTATATGTAGATCTAATATGTTTAGATTTTGCACATAAACCTAAACACGTTCCTTGTCCAATAATTTCGACATGTTTAGGTCTAAACATGTTTGGGATTTTGTTTAATAGCTAATCGTGTTTAGGTTCTAAATGTGGGAAAACCGTACACCCCCTTCAATTCGTTGTGGTAATTTACAAATAGGGCGCTTTCCGTGAGTTTTTCTTAAAAGTTTAATGGTGATATAGAAGTGTAACTGAAAGACGTTAAGGTGTTGTCACAATTGTCAATTTTCATAGCCAGCATTTACTTAGCTTTATTTAGTTGTACAGTTTTACATCGAAGGGACAAAAAACCCAGGGTTTTTTCTTTTATAAAAACAAAATACGATTTTAGAACTATTTAGTATTAGAGTTTTGAACGATACACTCATTTTTCTCGCATTGTAAGTAGGAAGCTCTTAAAACGTGTAAAAATATCACGCCGTCATCAGTCCGTATCGCCCCCTTCCAGGTATTAAAACGATGATGAAGTGGAAACAGTTGAAGTCAGTTTCATCATCGTTTCCTTTGTTGGTTTGTTGTTTAACGCCGCACTCAGCAATATTCCAGTTGAATGAGGGCGGTCTGTAAATAATCGAGTCTGGACCAGACAATCCAGTGATTGACATCATGAGCACTGATCCACGCAATTGGTGTGCGATGACATGCATCAACAAGGTCAGCGAGCCTGACCACCCGATCCTGTTAGTTGCCTCTAACACGACAAGCATAGTCGCCTTTTACGGCAAGCATGGGTTTGCAGAAGACCTATTCTACCCCAGATCTGGTCCACTGTCACATGGAGGTGATCAGTCGTAAGGGGTCTGCACATGATATTATAAAGTCTTCATATCTCCGGCCAGACCTACTGATGAGCTGCTTATTTGCTTAACCTACATTTATAAATCACCATAACCCATCTTCTGAGGCATGAAAACTTATAAATGTTCCCCACCTAAGGCAATTCAAACCCTTGTAAACCTAGAAAAGAGGCACCTTTTACAAACAAGAGTGATCAGAAAGATGACATATCCCCCTGGCAGCTGTCTGTAAAGTAATCACTAGTAAATGTGCAATTCTATATGTAATGAGTCAACAGTTGAATGTTCTTTTAGAAGCATACATTGTTTAACCTACTGAATGGTTTTCGAATTCTGGCCCGGAAACGAAAACGTTCCCCAATGGAGTCTAGGTCCAACTTCTTTACATAAAAATTGTAAAAAAGTAAAAATTTGTAAAAAAAAATAATATCAAAAGGCATCACTTAAGTATGTGCCTGATAGCTTTACCAAGTTTCGATCAAATACACTGAATGGTTTTCGAATTCTGCCCCGGAAACGAACCCCATCCCCAATTGAGTCTATGTCCAACTTCATTCCATAAAAATTTAAAAAAAATAAAAATTAGAAAAATCCCAAAATATCAAAAGGCACCACTTCAGTATGTGCCTGATAGATTTGCCAAGTTTCAATCAAATATACTGAATGGTTTTTGAATCCTGCCCTGGAAAAGGAAATGATTACGAACGGACAGATGGTCAGACGGACGGAGAGACAGACTGGCTGATCGCTATATCCCCCCGCATTATATGCCAGCATAGAACAGCATTGGAAATACTCTATGATCAAGTATTTCCTGGGATATCAATTTTTGATTTCATGCTTGGAAATGTCTGCAATTGTGGTCATAGCATTCATGACAATGGTGCTTGTGTATTGCAATACACATTGTCATATGATTCATAGGTGTAGCTTCATTTGAAATAAACTCCCAAAGTTAGTTCATATCGGGAAACATGCAAATCTGGACATGGCATGCAATTCCCTCTGTATAACATTTGTTTCAACAGTGTAAAATGTGGCCAGTGGTTAATATCGAGATCGAGAGAGAGAGAGTGTGTGTGTGCATACATATATAAAATATACATTAAGAAATATATCGAAAATTTTAATACAATATGTTCAATAGCTCCTGAGTAGATGAGATTGGCGAGAATGCTGTAATTATAACTAAAATGCGCAGCTGCGGGGTACATTTTGAGTATAATGCTGCTTCTAACAATATTTCAGCTGTATTAGTGAGTGAGTAGTGTTTTACGCAGCTTTTAGCATTATCACGGTGGGGACACCAGAAATGGGCTTCATCTTCGGTGTGATGAGCGAATGCTTTAACCACTAGGCTACCTGGCTGCCCCTTCAGTTATATAAGGCAGGATAAAGTAGAATCAGACTTCACCCATTGTATCCATGTGATGAATCGGACCTGGGTCTTGGGTGTGACCAGCTACCTCTGCCCAGCATGAGGCACAATGCACCCATGTGTAGGCTAACTGTTCCACCCAGGGTGAAACAATCACTTGTCATAACATGCAATAATGACTTTGGCAATCTTTTATTTACACAATAAATATCAACATTCAACTGATTGCCTTGCCCCGTGTAGATGCTTCATATGTTCACTGGCACTTCTTCCCTCAAAGGTTGAGTTTTTTCTTTTCAGCAAAAAACTGAAAATAATTTTTTGAGAGAATAATAAAGCAATGGCACAAACAGTGTTTAACACAGCAAGGAGCAGTACTAGTTAATGCCTGTATATTACCAGCTGTACTAGTGGTTGATGGCATGAGCATCGATCCAAGCTGTAAGGTACAGTGAGACCCTTTTTTTTACATTCATTAGTATTTCAGGGGGCACGGTTGGCCCAGTCGTCTAAGGCGCCGTGATTCGCTGTGCAGAGGTGTGTCCCATGGGCACGCCAGAAACCTATGATTGTGGGTTCGAATCCTGGTTCTCCCCGATTATGTTTCTAGGTTTGTCAGCACCATACCCGTGCTCGTGTGTTTCTCCAAAGTGGTAAATGTCTGAGACCTGCATCACTTCGGGCTTTCCTCCCACATTAAGCCGACACGCCGTGATATAACTGGAATACTGTTAAAAGCGGCGTTAAACCCAACTCACTCATTTAAACCACTGCCTGTCCACTTAATGTGGTAAGAAGACTGCCTCCGTGGTGTAGTGAATAGATCGTCTGCCCAGTTTTAGGTCGGTAGTTTGTTCCCCTACCAAAGATGTTAAAAGATCGTACTTCTTCTGACCCTGCCTGGCGCTCATCATTAAGGGGATAAAACTAGAACTGTTCAGTATACTGTGTTTGAGTGGGGTATCCATGTTAAATTGTGGGATGGTATCTCAGTGGGCTAGTACCATAAAAACGGACTAGTACAAACATCCACACACGCATGTGCATTCAGATTGCTTTAAAAATGCAATGATCTTGCCCCAAACATTAAACCCCACTTCACCTCACCCAATGTGGTAGGAATGCCAGATGTGATGCAGGTCTGAGATGTTTACAAATTCGATGAAACCCACGAGTATGAGTTTCTTAGTCAGCATCATACCCAATCTGGGCAAACCGGGATTTGAAACCCACAGCCATGGGTTTCTGAATAGCGACACACAATAAAAACACATATTGCAGTGTGTGGGATTTTGGGTAGGGATCATAATAAAAATGTTTAAAAAAATTACATGTGGACATCAATGACATACAAACAAACAAATAAAGAAAGAAAGAACAAATATATGCCCCCTTCCACCCACTGAAGGTGAAATTCACAAATGGGACCCTCACCAGACCAAAATTGTGGAACTGCCTCCATACTGTTAGCAGTCGATCTCCATTAGTCGACTCTTACGATTAAGGGAGAGACATCATATCCTTACTTCATATGAAGTCACACTCACCTTGGACAGTGCGGCCATGACTGGGCCAAATCTGGCCATTTTGTTGAGATGTTGACCAATCCAAGATGGCAGCTTGCTTGCTACATGGGGGCCGGCATATCGACGGTCACACAGCAGGATGGAGGCATAATCACCACGGTGACGGATAGCTCGACCTGAAACAAGCGTTGCAGAATATGATTCTAAATTAGGAAATGTTCAAAAAACAAATACTGCTGAGTACATGGAATATGCCATATCACCATAGTGTGATGAAGGCAGACGATCACTCAAACAAGTAAACAAGTAGGGATAACAACAAGTATGTCTACTAACAAATGCAGATCAAGAGATAAAATGGCGAGTGTGGTAGGTTTTATGTGATTGTTCGCAATATTCCAGTTGGGGTACACTAGAAATGGGCTTCACATATGTTGTACCAGTGCAAGGCATCCAATAATAGCTTCACACATATTGCAAGGCATCCAACCCAGGCCTTTGGGGTGACGAACGCATTGACACAAGGCTACCAAAAAAAACCCAGGGTGCAATGATTTGTTTGTTGTTCAGCAATCTTCCAGTTATATGACGGCTGTCTGGACCAGACAATACACTGATTGACATCATGCGCATCAATCTGGGCAATTAATGACATTGTCAAACAAGTCAGCGAGCCTGACCATCCAATCCCATAAGTCACCCTTACGGCAAGCAGTTGCTATTTACGACAAGCATGGTTTGCTGAAGACCTATTCTAACCTGGATCTTCACGGGTTCAGGGTACAATAAAGGTGTGAGATGAAACATGTCATGATTCTTAACTTACAATAGGATACAAATCACAGGAGTGAGTGATGGAGTGAGTTGGGTTTAATGCCGCTTTTAACAGTATTCCAGTTATATCACGGCGTGTCAGCTTAATGTTGGAGGAAAGCCCGATGTGATGCAGGTCTTAGACGTTCACCACTTCGGTTAAACCCACGAGCACGGGTATGGTGCTGACAAACCTAGAAACATGATCGGAGCGAACCGGGATTCGAACCCACAATCATAGGTTTCTGGCGTGCCCAAGGGACGCAACTCTGCACAGTGAATCGCAGCGCCTTAGACGACTGGGCCACCCGTGCACCAACAGATCACAGGAAACAGTCTGTCCTACAATTTGAAATATATTCCATATTGTTAAATGTGTGTTGGTGCCAGTAATTAAAATGCAGTTAAAACCTCTGGAGCTGATAGGAAAAGTACCACAAGGAAACTGTCTCACCGATGGACTGGTTGACGGCCTTCATACAAATATTCTCGTAGTGCAGCTGTCCAGGTAGTCGACCATCCTCAGATTTAGGCTGTGGAGTGAATGGATGCTGAATGGTGAGTGAATGGTTGTAGCAATCATCAACGAAATGGTTGGTATGGTAAGACAATATCAGTGTTACCCGTTCTGACATTTAATGTTAATTACGTTTGTGATGTTCTTAGGTATTTGTATGGGTGTTTAACAATAGGCTGAGACCTGGTGCTGATGTAACCAAAATTTCCTTTGGGATAAGAAAGTTTGATCTAATCTTAAAGCTTTTGTATCACCCTGTGGTATATATATATATTATACTCTTATGAATGTCCCAAGTCTGTATTGAAGTATGGGAGTAGTATGTACCAGACACTATTGCATCCACTAGCTCCAACGAAATTTCCTTTCAATGTTAACACATGGACTATATAATTTAAATGCAAAAAGATGTCTTGTATGAGAGTAAAAATGTGATTTTATTGAGACACACACACATGCATACACGTCGTTACTTAAGTGCAATAATCTTGGGCGCGACGTTAAACCCCATTTTACCTCACCTCAGAGTACACAAGAAAACATATTTTCCTAAAATCATTTATAAGAGTCTTGTGATTTGTATAAATACATGAATAAATACACTTGATGATCGAGGATGTGATTTAAAGTGATGAAATTTTCATTATTCACAAGTGAAGCCAGGTGAACCCACATAGTTCTTGTTGAGGTAGTCCATCTTCTCCCGGAGTTCGGGTGAGTACATGTTTGGGTACGGCATTCCCACCATGATGACACACCTGTACAGACAGCATACACATTACATGTTTGTTTGTTTGTTGTTTAACGCCGCACGCAGCAATATTCCAGCTATATGACGGCGGTCTGTAAATAATCGAGTCTGAACCACACAATCCAGTGATTGACATCACCAGCATCGATCCACGCAATTGGGATACGATGACATGCATCAACCAAGTCAGTGAGCCTGACCACCCGATCCCGTTAGTCGCCTCTTACGACAAGCATAGTCACCTTTTACGGTAAGAATGGGTTGCTGAAGACCTATTCTAACCCGGATCTTCACGGGTCACACATTACATGCTATGAGCGGACAACATACAAGGCAAACCACAATAAAATACACTCACAAAAATCATCAAGCACTTCTTTACATAGATTTATTTTATTCCAAGATTAAACCAGTTTAATTATTTGTTTCACCCATCCATCTTTCACTTTGGAGAAAAATAAAAAGTGAAAGGGGAAATAAACCTATGATCGCAAAAGTACAATGTCGTTAGGATCAGGCTTGTTCTCTCCCACTCTCTACAGTAAAGATTTTATCTGAAGGGAAGGATGGCAGTTTTTTACCCAGAAAATAAAATATAAAAGGCAGGTGAAATATGACAACAGGCACATATGTAAAAAATTGTGGTATATCTTGTGTTAAGTAACAAACAGTTATTTCATAAATGATTATTCTATTTCCCTCCAACCTACAGTTAATTTTGGGATAAAAATCTGTAAAATATTAGCAACTAAATTGGTTTGGCCAAACTATTGAAATCTCAAAAAATGTTTGAATTTGAAAACTCTGCCCTATTCACCGAGCCGTGTCTGAAATGTTACACAAATTGCATTTGGACAAGGAATGAAGATGAATGATGCTCTGATTCAAGCTACACAAAATACTAAACTTTCGCTTAGTGCCTGAACATATGTTCAACATGTCTACACAACCATGACAACAAAAACATTCTTTTGTGGATCATAGCCAAGATCAAGCAAAAAAATAATTAAAGAAAACCAAACCCCCAAAACCAGACAAATACCGTATTTGACGTAATAAGCGCCCAGGGAGCACTCAAAATTAGAAATAGGGGGCTCTTATTAGAATATTATTTAGTTGAAAAAACAACAGAGGTGAAAGATAAATTTCGTGGTTTATGCTGACAGCCTGAAATGTTTATGTACGAAAGATATATTTTCCCAGACTGTAATTGCCGATAATTAAGGGTGCATATAACACACGCGTGAGTATTATACACGAATAAATAAGTCTTGTGTACATTGATCAATCAGAAGGGGTGCTAATTGGGATTGTTCACTAGCCAAGATATTAGCAAATGTTGCCAAGTTACGTCGAATACGGTAAAAAGAAAGAGCCATTAATAATTTGTGAAAGAGGAAATGGGGTTCAGTCCAGGTTAAAAATAGACCTGGCAACTGTTTTAAATGGCGGGAACTGGAGCGTGAGGAAGGATAGTTACAATACTCCAGCAGGCTCGACAGGCTGCAATGTCAACATTGTTACTGGCCTGTATCCGAGCGTACAGACACTGACTATGAATACATTCACAAACAGTTGCATGAACACGAGGAAATTAGGACACGAAAGCACCTGGTTAATGCTCAGGAGCTTCTGTGAGAAACTGGAAACACATCATTAAGAGGGTCAAACACAGGGCGCATTGATCACTGAAGCTTGAGATGTGTGAGAACTTTATATTGGTCAGACTATACACAAGTGGTTAGAGCCTTCTGGACACACCCTTGTAGATTTATTGTACAGGAATGAAGTATTGGTTTTATCATAAGGCCAGGATGAATTATTTGATTTTCATCAATGCCAGCCTCCGTTGCACATTCCCCCTGACATCAGTTTAGCTACACATTTTTTATTTTTTGTTTCAATGGCCCGCTGCCCCTATTGAAAAGCAGCTGGAAAAGAAAAAAATTAAATAGCTATATATTTTTCTCCTGCTATTAATATATACTCTCCTATATAACATAATATGTTATATATATATAAATTCTATGTCTACATCACTATCAGTGATTCAAGAAGCCAGCTTCAGTTTTAACTCCACGGCAGAATGACTTTCATATCAATAAATAAACGATTGACATCTACGGAAGCCTTTTAGGGCCATTTGTTTTTTCTTGAAATTTCAAAATACTTACTTGAAATTTCAAGATGTAATAAGTTGAAATTTCAAGATACATACTAAGTTGAAATTTCAACTAAGTATCATGAAATTTCAACTTAGTATCTTGATAGTATCGAAACAAATAAAAAACCAAATGGCCCTAAAAGGCTTCCTTCGACATCACTTTGTATTTACATTTTTATTTCGACCAACCTTTTGGAAAAACTAGAATAAATCCATGAAACATAAAATCAAAAACATGTGGCCTTTATAGTCTCAAGTACCTACAGATCAAGAACATGTGATTATTAAGTGATAATTAAAGAACGCGTTCCCTTCTTTCTGTGAAACACACCATATGCATTCCTACAAAACATCTTTGCTTCGTGTGGATCACAGTGACAGTAAATACCCTAAAAAGCTGTAGCTCACCTGGGTAGTCAATTGTTTAAACTGTCATCAAAGACAGACAGAATGCTGTCAGGATTGATATACAAAATATTTGTTTGCATTTTCTCACTAAAAAGTGCCAACACACTTTAAACCTACAAAACATTTTTTTTAAATACAAAGATCAAATAACAATCAAAATATGTTAAAAAATAGAACATATATGTGGAGCCCCTCTACTAACAACTCATATACCAAATTTTGAGTAATGGCTGTGTAATAGCCATAAATAGGTTTTATAGAATGGCTGCACTAGCAGTCAGGTGAGCTAAACAATACACAAAATAAACCTCCTGCCTCAGTTTTGAAACATTCCCATGAAAATCTAATAAGAATTTAGTGTGGCCTTGATACACTCTCTCCTTTGGATATAGGTGAAAATTTTGGGTTTGGTTTGGTTTGTTGTTTAACGCCACACTCAGATATATTCCAGCTATTTGACGGCGGTCTGTAAAATAATCAAATCTGGACCAGACAATCCAGTGATTGATATCATGAACATCGATCCACGCAGATGGGATCGATGACATGCATCAACCAAGTCAGCAAGCCTGACCACCTGATCCCGCTAGTCGCCTTTTACGACAAGCATGGTCGCCCTTTACGACAAGCATGGTCGTCTTTTACGGCAAGTATGGGTTGCTCTACCCCGGAATCTTCATAGAACAGCATAAAACAACATTCATTTACTTAAGTAACCTCCATGTTAAAGCATGGTAGAGTGGCATGTCTTGAGGAAAATATTGCTAGTCTCACCTGCCCATGTCATCGGAGAAGTTTATGCCTTCGCTCATCTTGCCGCCTACAACACAGAGCAGGAGGCCCCCAGTGACCCCGGTCGAGCCCGTTACACTGAACTGTATCAGAGAGAAAACATGTGTAACACTGAACTGTAACAGAGAGAAAACATGTGTAACACTGAACTGTAACAGAGAGAAAACATGTGTAACACTGAACTGTAACAGAGAAAACATGTGTAACACTGAACTGTAACAGAGAAAACATGTGTAACACTGAACTGTAACAGAGAGAAAACATGTGTAACACTGAACTGTAACAGAGAGAAAACATGTGTAACACTGAACTGTAACAGAGAGAAAACATGTGTAACACTGAACTGTAACAGAGAAAACATGTGTAACACTGAACTGTAACAGAGAGAAAACATGTGTAACACTGAACTGTAACAGAGAGAAAACATGTGTAACACTGAACTGCAACAGAGAGAAAACATGTGTAACACTGAACTGTAACAGAGAAAACATGTGTAACACTGAACTGTAACAGAGAAAACATGTGTAACACTGAACTGTAACAGAGAGAACATGTGTAACACTGAACTGTAACAGAGAGAAAACATGTGTAACACTGAACTGTAACAGAGAGAAAACATGTGTAACACTGAACTGTAACAGAAAAGTGAGTGACTATTGTTTCACGCCGCTTTTAGCAATATTCCAGCAATATCACGGCGGGGGATACCAGAAATGGGCTTCACACATTGTACCCATGTTGGGAATCGAACCGGGTCTTCAGCGTGACGAGCTAACGCTTTAACTACTAGGCTACCCTACCGCCCCCTGTAACAGAACACATATGTGTAGACAGGGATGAGAAGATAGAACCTTTGCAATATGTCAGAAACGTTCAAATGGGAGATACCATATACAATCAATTCTGTCAGTATTATTCTGAAATAACAAGACACAATAATTACAAATACCAATGGCACCTGTTTCATGACATTTCAAGTTGAATAATCAAAAACTTATAACATAAAAATAACACTAATTGCAAATGTGTCAGCTGTAGAATTCAACCATAGTGGCTAGAATGTTCAAGATGAGCCTTGCTCTGTTGACTGTTGACAAATGATATGATGCTTGATGGAGCGAGACAAAGACTTTATTGATCTTCAACGAAAAGAATATACAGGGAACCGCCATTGATACCGGCTCGCACATGTCAATTTCAAAACGAGACTCTGACCTCTGACCCATACATATGCATACAATAAACCTTAATTGCATGCACACTACAGTGGCTAGTGATGCATCATAGTGCATCTGTGCAGTGCAATGAGACTGAAGACGTCGCCACAGAAACAGACTTGCCTCACCTTGATACATTTAGCAAACTCCGCAAGAGTGGAGTCAACCAAAGAGGCCAGTTTCGGCTCCCTGAATATCTGAAATAACGGTGAATATACATTTACAGTCAAATTAAAATGTAGGGTTTGTTCTTACAAAATGACAGACTAATGAGGAATGTTATTTCACTTATGGTTCATGTTTTCACAAACCAAAATTATTTACATGTCGCTTTGGAAATAGCTTCAGTTTCAAAACATTTGTTTTTCAAGCATCAAGTGACTCCAGTTGGAAAGAACCCCTACCAGGAATTTGCTCTGTTTATCAAGTAATATGGTGTAGGAAATAAGTCCAGGATGCCAGACTAGCAGGCCATGACATAAGTTCACTTGACTTTGAGTCAGGTGAGCTAAAACTCAATGATTTCTTCAATGGAAATTTTGAAACATTCTATGAATGGTAGAAGAAAAAACTAGTTAGCACTACCTTTCTAATTTTTTTTTGATGACAGGCCCTATGGTTTTATAAAGAAAGGCCAAATGATTAAAAATAGAAGCATTGTTGTAAATGTTTTGGCATTTATATAGACAAGAGTGTGTGTGTGTGTGTGTGTGTGTGTATATATATATATATATATATATATATATATATATATATATATATATATATGTAGAGAGGGTGAGAGAGAGAGCAAGAGAGAGAGAGAGAGAGAGATAGATAGATAGATAGATAGATAGATAGATAGATAGAATAGAAAAGTCCAAAGATGAGCTGTATAATTTACTCAACCGGTTTCACGCATGTGATTTTCAAGAGTACAGTTATACCGTTACGCTGTTTTGACGTCACAGTGCACTCTAACATAGTATGACATCATAGTGCAAACTAACTTTGTGACGTCACAATAAGACAGGCGTAAGACGATAGGGCAGGTGTACGACGCATACAGAAATAAGTATTGTAGTGGCAGTAAATTGTACAATACATGTAATTGTATATAATAATTCATTTATTTCAGGCCATTTAATTTTGGTTTGAAAGTATTAATAACATAACTTTCTTCTATCTTTCTCAGTGCATCATTGTCACATTTGTAAAACGTGAATATAACAAAATTTGGTGTTTTATTCCTGATCAATGTGTTGACTGAGTGGGATACACCGACAAGAGGGGTCCCTTATTTGTTGTCGTTGGACCCTGACTCTCGCTCTTAGGGTGTCCCCTGTCTGTCCAATGTATTCGGTCTTGCATCCAGCACATTTACGACATAAATCAAGTTTTTCGAAGCACAATTCATATTTTCACGGACATAGAAAGTTTTTTATATATATTACTAAAAACAAGTTAAAGAACACCTGATTCTTTCAGGACAACTGTAGTAATGTGAATGAATTGGGTGTTCTTAAACTTCTTTTGAGAAGTATATCAACTGGTAAACTCCCTGCCAACTTACCCTTTTCCTAGCTGCTATCTTCTTCAGCATGCCTGAGTTGTCCCAGTGATTGTAGACTTTCTTCTCGTAGTCGTAAGATGGGAAGAAGATGACCACGCCCCCTGGTACAACCTGACCCACGTTCATCACCAGTCTGCCCAGTTCATCCAGCTGGTACAAACACAGCAGCGAGTGAGTGAATGTTGTTTAAGGCCCCAGTCAGCAACATGCCTGCTATATAAGGCTACATCTGCTGGCGCCAACCAAAGACTAAAAGCATGGGCACGATGACAACATTGCCCTATAATCAGCCAAGTCAGTGAAATTGACCACCTGATCAATTCGAGTCGACTTTTATGACACGAATGGACGTTAGTTCTACCCATCATCCTTTAGAGTGTTAGCAACTTCATCTTCCCGAGGCAAGAGTCCACTAGCCTTTTCATCAAATTCTTGTTTCCTCCCTGGCCACATCAAGCACACTTTCCTATGCTAAATATGATTGGACTATCGCACATATCAAAAGTCCGAGCAGAGAATGTTTCACAAAATCAACATCCACGGCTGGTACACCTTAGTATGCAAGTGATTTACCAGTGTCTGTCTTTGTTGACACGAATATGTCTTTTTTCATGTTAAACCCCCCAACACCTGCCTATGTTTTTGTGTCAGGGATGAAATCACAAATGTTATCTGATAGATGAGGATGTTGCTTATGGTAGTCGCCATCTTTGTGAAGCTATACGAGATAAGAACAGCGATCTGACTGGATATTGCATTGTCATTAGAAGGGGCACAACTCGTGATCTACAAGAGGTGGCGCCAGGGTAGAGCCAAGAAAAGTGGACTTGATGTGGCAAGGGCAGAAACTAGGCTTGGATATAGGCTGGTGGACACACTTGGCTTAGGAAGATGCAGAACCTATGAACATCTGATAAACTTTGAATATATTATTAATATATCTGACATGTCAATATGGCAAAATCAAGAAATATTCTGTAAACATTCCTGTCATAATACTAATGGTTTATCAATTGCTACCTGTTTATCATCCAAAACAAGCCCCCCACAGGAGATATCACTTGGGTTAGATAAGCAATCTTGCTGCAATGTCAATGCTTTGCAGACCATTGCGACATCATTGGTTCTATAAATTTGTGTTGGTATATTTGAGTGGAGTGGAGTGAGTATGGTTTTACGCCGCTTTTAGCAATATTCCAGCAATATCACGGCGAGGGACACAAGAAATGGGCTTCACACATTGTACCCATGTCGGGAATCGAACCCGGGTCTTCGGCGTGACGAGCGAACGCTTTAACCACTAGGCTACCCGACCGCCTGGTATATTTGAAATCAGATGGGCGAGATTCTCTATATATTAATTGCAACACATAGAGATTATTATACGCACATGTGTGTCATACCATTTTACGAATCAAGTGTCAGAATTCTTGTATTTCCCAAGCAAGAGCGAGGATGATACATGAATTCTTAGACAAGTTTTGTGTGAGTGTAATAATTTTTGTATTACCCATTATTTCTTAATCCTTTTGAGCTTCCCCTCAGAAAAATGCAGTGGTTACCACCGCTGTTCTACTTAACCACAATGTGTTGAATGACATCAACAATCTTTGGCGTCGTTTCTCGTATGACGTCATTCTGACCTTACGTCATAATAAGATCTGAATGACTTCAACAGTGCCGTCTGAATGGAAGCAATACACTTGTTCGCGAGAAGCTTATTTGCACGAGTGCACAAACGATTTTTTCTATATTTCTGAGGGCGGTCAGGTAGCCCAGTGGTTAAAGCGTTCGCTTGTCACGCCGAAGACCCACGTTGGATTCCCGTAATGGGTACAATATGTGAAGCCCATTTCTGGTGTCCCCCGCCGTGATATTGCTGGAATATTGCTAAAAGCGGCGTAAAACCATACTCACTCACTCGATATTTCTAAACCTATGGGTAATAAATATACAAATACACACACTACCCTAAAGTGTATAGAGATGAGGGCCAGCCAAGCACTGGGATCACCTGTGACCTACCAGTGCAGGTTTGTCTCTGTTCTGATAGGTGAACTCCAGGGTGTGGTCTGACGGTCCGCTCGGCACCACCATCGGCAGGATGTTGCTGCCCGCGATCACATGACCTGCAATAGTCACGCCACCTGGTGTCACTCACCACCTTCACAACCACTACACATAAAGCGGGTCCTTGAGTGTCACTTTCACTGCAGTCAGTGAAATTCAAGCAATGACAGGGAATTGCCTAAAAGTTGGGCCGCACCGGGCCAAAATTTTATTGGCTAATTATTCCATTATCGACGACCATACCTACATATTACTGATGCAACAGACACACATGACATTAATGAACAATCACAAACCAAAAACATGCACCATAATTAAGTGATTGCAAGTAAATAGCTTGAAAATCAGAAAGTCAAGCTGTGTGTAAGCATTTTCGAGCTAGGTAACATATAAAAGAGCAATCGTTAAACGAAAGAGGATTTGAAACATATCAAATACTTCTAGCTATCATGATACAAATTTCCATCTGTCGGCATAGCGTTTACATTTATAGGATAGTACTATATCTAAGTAAATACCACTTTATAATGTCACTGTTTATCGTTTTTAAAGCAGAAATGTGAGTTAAAGTAGAGATCTTTTCCCCATACTCTCAACAGTCTGACAAGTGTTCGGTCTGACTTGCCCCAGGCTGTCAAAATCAACTTAAACCTCACAGATGTATCATCAAATGTGTTCACATCTATAAACTAATATTATATCTACCTTTTTACCACTTAATAATGTCACAGTACCTTGCATTTAAAAAAGAATTGGACTGTTAAAGACAAGCACTTTTACTGTATTTTCTCAAGAAAATCTCTGTCACATGTGTTTGCTCCGAAAAAAATAAACTTTAAACTCACAGATGTATCATCAAATGTGTTTACATCTATATACTAGTTGTATATCTACCTATATACCTACCACTCCTTGTTGGTCTACTTCATAGTGTCTCAGATCATGTGATTTAAAGAAAACATTGTGATCAAAGTGAAGCCTTTTTCCCTCTACATTCTCAACATAGTCTCTATCAGAAATGTTTGGTTTGTTTGGTTGACTTGGCTTGGGCTGTCAAAATTAACTTAAACCTCACAGATGTATCATCAAATGTGTTTACATCTATAGACTGGTATTATATCAAGTGCCAGTTTTTGTAAAATAATGTAAAAATAGATGTGAAATGAAAATAAATGATACTCTTTCTTTAATTACACATCAAGTGGGAGCTAATCAGAAGCCTCTCCCCACCCCCTGTAGCTAGCCTTGCTCCTGCTGACCGTCTCCCAATCGGAAGCCTCTCCCCACCCCCTGTAGCTAGCCTTGCTCCTGCTGACCGTCTCCCAATCGGAAGCCTCTCCCCACCCCCTGTAGCTAGCCTTGCTCCTGCTGACCGTCTCCCAATCGGAAGCCTCTCCCCACCCCCTGTAGCTAGCCTTGCTCCATGGCTGTGCTGAATGATAAGTCCGAAAACTCTGCACTGCGATATTTTGTTCCTTACTAGGAGTCAGCGATACATACACGAAAATAACACAGGATTCGGCATCCACATCAACAAACCTACAAAAGAAACAAAATCCTAAAGGCTCTCCAATAACCAAGCAGCTGAACTAATAGGGATTGTACAGCCCTACACAGCGCCCAAATACAAAACACACCCAAAAAACCTAATCCTAACACTCATTAGTGGGCTTCAGGCTACAAAAAACAAAAACGCAAAAAAACGTCCAAAACTAATACTTCAGATACTTCAAAGCTCCGACAATCTCCGCAAACTAGGCAAAGACATAGAAATAGTTTGGATTCCTGCCCACGTCCGAGTGTTTAGTAACAAAGTAAAGCAGCTAAATCAGCACTAAACTTAGAAGAAGTTAGCATCAACCTTCCAATATCTAAAAACGAAATAAAACAACATTACTAAGGAAAAGATCTTCCAAAAGTGGCAAAACAACTATCAGAACTATCAGAAATCAAACTGCAAACAAAAACACCTCCTACCAAAAACCCAATCCATCATGAAACCTAAAAAATCAACAGGGCAATAGTGAGTGAGTTGGGTTTAACGCCACTTTTAACAGTATTCCAGTTACATCGCGGCGTGTCAGCTGAGCTTAATGTGGGAGGAAAGCTCGAAGTGATGCAGGTCTCAGACGTTTACCACTTCGGTGAAACCCACGAGCATGGGTATGGTGCTGACAAACCTAGAAACATAATCGGGGCGAACCGGGATTCAAACCCACAATCATAGGTTTCTGGCGTGCCCAAGGGACGCAACTCTGCACAGCGAATCGTGGCGCCTTAGACGAATGGGCCACCCGTGCCCCCTTAACAGGGCAATAACCAAATTACAAATAGGCCACACTAAACACTAACTCACACCTACACCAAATTAAAAAACATCAAACCAGAAAAATGCCCACATTGAAACCAAAAAGAAACTCCTGAACACGTAATACTACATGTCACGCATTACCAACAACACAGAACAACACTCCAATCCACACTAAACTACAACAACCAGATGACACTAGCAACTCTGCTAAACTCTTCTAAACCCCATTTTAACTTTCAAAACTTTAAAGCACTAGGCATTTATATAATCAAAACAGGCCTACTCGGCTGCATTTAGAAACAGAAAAACACACACAAAGTAACATGACAAACAAGCTACCAATAAAACATAAATCTATAAAAACACACAACCACACAACCTCCTTTTAGTTCCCCTACCTTATAAGCATAGCATATTTCAAAATTCAAAATTTCTGCCAACATTATGATTAAGCGACCATATGGGCCCTCCAGGTTGCCTTACCTTTTGGACATACCCTTGTCCACCCCATCACTATACGGCCTAGCAGGCCCATTTGCGAATATATATATATATATACACTGAACAACAAAAAGTTCCTGTGACATTGAATAAGATTTAATGCAAAGCTATGTTTTTTACCAAATCTGAAACAATTTTGGTTTACAACAGATAAAAGACTCCTGTAAGTGTTCAAATGGTTTAATTTGCCATACTGACTTCAGAAAATGGGCCATTTCATAAAAAGCATGAACATGCCAAAATGATAATTTACAAATCAAAAGCCTCTGGTTGCGATGCAAGCAACACATGTTCGTCTCATGGAATGGACCAGGTGTCACACAAAGTCCTGTGGGATATCTGTCCATATCTGCTGGAGCATGTTTCAAGGTTCCTGGAGTGTCTGTCGAACACGTGGTTGACGTCGAAGGCGCCGATCCATCTCATCCCACATGTGCTCGATTAGTGAGAGATCAGGGGCGCAAGCCGGCCAGGGGATGCCATTCACGTTGTTTTGTTGAAGAGAATCCTGAACAAGTCGAGCAATATGAGGCCGGGCGTTGTCATGTTGAAAGGTAATGCCTGGGCCATGATGACGCCAAAACGGTAGAACAACAGGGCCGATGATCTCGTCGCGGTAGCCCTGTCCATTGAGATTTCCCTCTACCACTATCAAACGGGTCCTCTGTCTTGCTGTAATCCCACTCCATACCATAACGCTGCCGCCCCCGATCCGATCTTCTTCCATAACACAATGATTGACGTAACGTTCACCGCGATGTCGGTACACTTGAATCCGTCCATCGCTGTGGCTGAGGTAAAAAACGAGACTCGTCAGTGAATAGAACTTGGCCCAATGCATGGCCGTCCCGCGTAGACGCTGTCTGCACCACTGTAGATGTGCTTGACAGTGGTTTCCTGCCAAAATGGGACGTCTGGCGGGTCTTCTGGCAACAATTCCTGCACATCTTAGGGGACAAAGTACGGTTTGTGAAGATTTTTGTCGAAGGCCAGGGATGCTTCTTGCAGTCACTGTTGCTGGCTGGAATCAATTTCGTAGGTGCATTGATCGAATCCAGTTGTCCTGTCGATTATTGGTTACGCGTGGCCTGCCACTCCGAGGATGGTCTATGACTGCATTCGTCTGTTGCCAACGTTGCCATAAACACCAAATGGTGTTTTTGTGGACGTTAAATTGTCTTGCAACATCACATTGACTCGATCCTGCTTCAAGCATACCAATGGCTCGCAGACGCTCATTTGCGCACATGTGTGGCATTTCATAATGTTGAATAATTGCGTAATTTTGTTGTTTTTCTGAGTGGTTGTTGTCAGCACGATGCTAAACAATGCATATGGAATCGCGTTAACACCACATGTTTTTATACCCATTCTTGGGTAGTGAAATGCATGGGGCTTGCATAAAAGTCAACTTTTGCATGGAATGCATGCTTTTCTGTAGCATTTGCGTTTTTGAGACTTGATTCCATACATGTACTACAATATTGAAAACCAAACTTTAATTGTTTGAAAAATACACTAAAATATTGGTGTCTCAGGAAGATATCAGATATTTACAAGCAGTCGAATAAAGAGGATAAAGGAACCTCTCTGATTAGGTTTTTGTTTACTTAAGAAATTCATTAGCTACGTCAGATGATACAAGTATTTGTCACAAAGTGACGAAATGTCCCCCGCCTGTATATACACCATAGTACCAAATATGAAGACAATCCAGCGATTAGTTCTTGAGATATTGCGGCAACACCGTTTTCCAACTCCAAAAACAGATTTGCCTGCTGTGACCTTGAAAATGGGGTCAAGGTCACCAAAACAGACTGGTGTATGCGGTGTCTGTATATACACCATAGTTCCAAATATGAAGACAATCCAGCGATTAGTTCTTGAGATATTGCGGCAACACCGTTTTCTAACTCCAAAAGCAGATTTGCCTGCTGTGACCTTGAAAATGGGGTCAAGGTCACCAAAACCGACTGGTGTCTGCGGAGTCTGTATATACACCATAGTTCCAAATATGAAGACAATCCAGCGATTAGTTCTTGAGATATCGCGGCAACACTGTTTTCCAACTCCAAAAGCAGATTTGCCTGCTGTGACCTTGAAAATGGGGTCAAGGTCACCAAAACCGACTGGTGTCTGCGGAATTTGTATATACACCATAGTTCCAAATATGAAGACAATCCAGTGTTTAGTTCTTGAGATATCGCGGCAACAAACAGGTGGGACATATGGACGTACGGTCGTGAATACTATATCCCCCGCTTCGCGCTGCGGGGGACAATAACCAAAAGGCAGCTGCGATAAGGGGCGGCTGATCGAAGGGCCAAACTGGACTTGTTATACATCATGTTGTACATCATTCAGTCTACATGTCTCAATGAGTTAAATACAAATTTTGAACATAAAACATAAATAGGAGTGTACATAGGTAGATATAATACTAGTCCATAGATGTAAACACATTTGATGATACATCTGTGGGGTGTAAGTTGATTTTGACAGCCCGAACTAAGTCGCAGCGAACACAAGCCAAACACTTCTGATAGAGACTGTTGAGAATGTAGAGGGAAAAGGGCTTCACTTTATGCAGCATGTTTTCTTTAACTACCGCGACATGAGACACTTTAAAGTGGTATAATAGTATATATAATACTAGTCTGTAGATGTAAAGTATGTTTAGTAACTTTAGAAGTGCTTTAACAGTTATTAACACGTGTCGTGTCAGCCCTTTGACATTCGCAAATATCCTCTCCCAGAAAACATCCTGTGTTGGTTTAACATAAATGAGTTTAGGTTACTTAGGCAATCCCCTTTGACAACCTGTAAATAAAACTGAGTCTTCACCCAATGCCTGCAAGTATAGAAAACAACTCACTATCTGATAAGTCTAATGAAAGGAAAGTAGTCAAAACTCTGTGACTTCCTGCCCAGGACATCACACCCCTACCTGCTGAGGTCGGTGAGAAAACCTTCTCATCAAAGAAAACACACAGTCAAGACACTGGCTTTCTACGAGGACTCTCGGTATGTAGTCATAAATATCCCTTTATTAAATTAATGAATATACATTTCGATTCAAACTGAACTAATCGAGTAAAACTATACGTTTGTGGGCATTTGAGATCTGCCTACATATGCATGTTTCGTTTTATTTTCTGCTATCCATTTTTAGTATTACCCACTGGCCCAGCCTGGCCTGACTTTTAGGCAATCCCCTATGACAGCCTGTACCAGTAAATAAAATTGAGTCTTCACCCAATGCCTGCAAGTATAGGCAACAACTCACTATCCGTTAAGTCTCACATTATTTTTTTCAACCAAACTGATGGTAATATTCTGGTGTTAAAAGATTCCATAATTACCATGGTGGGTGACACACCAGCTTGAATAAGAAACTAGATATTTGACTTGATCTAAAATGTTTGATTACCTCACTTACCTCAAGTACCACAAAATAAAAACATTGATAATAATAATAACAACAATAAGAAGAATAAGAATAAGAACAACAATTATATCAACATTTATTAACATAAGTCACATAAACACTTCATCCTACCGGGTACCCATTCACTGCTGGGTGATCAGATCATACAGACCATTTTCATTTGTCAACAAATTTGAACAAAATATCCCATTACTAAATAGTGTTATTTGCATAAACATGTTAGTATTCAAACATTTCAATATTTTCAAGTTTCAGTACTTCCATACTTGAATGCAGGCAACTTACCACAAGAGTATTCCAGTATTCTGTCAGGGCGGACCCCCGCTGCTGTGAATAGCTGCTGCTTGAATTCCGAAATCTGCAGAACAAATCAAACAATGCATGTACTGTGGTTCAGTTTAATAATGTACGTAAGTTGTCCTTTGGGATGAGTGAACAGTATTTCAGTTACCGTAAATCCTGAAATTAATGTGCTACCAAATTAATGCGAGTGTCAACCCCTGACCTAAAATATGACATGACATTAATGATAGTAGCCTTGCCTTTGAACTATAAAAAGTAATCTACATAAAATTCCATGGTATAGAATTTTTTATATTTAAAACCTGCATCTCCGGGATAAAACTGAGGGGCGTAAAATATCTGTTGTTGGCATTTGGTACTTGAAAAAGACATTCTTAAAAGCATTGGGATTTATCGCAGTGTAGCCTAGTGGTTCACTCACTGGGCTACAGATATGAAGGTTGTGTGTTCGATCCTCGGGAATATATAGAAAACATTAGTCATTTGATTTTCCATTTCATTACATTGTGTTCAAATGCAAAATACATTTCTAGCGAGAAACATTACAATCTACCGATAAATTGAAGCTGTATAAATAAAATCCCCGGGATATCATTACATATATAGCAAATATGCCTGGGATATCCTATAAAATATAATCTTAAGAATACTTATGTATTCAGTTTTAGTAATACTCCTCGTAGATTCTCACGTAATTGTTTGCTTTATTTCAACTGAATCAAGACACCATTTGTCTCGTATTTTCGCGATGTTTCAATATGTATGTCTGACTTCGGGCAGGTAACTTTGAAGATGGGCAGGCAACACTTATGGGTCACCTGGCCGACTGTCTTGTGTGTGTTATTAAGCACATTTTAGAATAGAGAAAGATACACTAACCGGCTGCATGGTTCCTCCGGCCACTACTATAGCTCTCGCCTCCTTCACAACACTTTCAAAATGGACGGCAGGGTTTAACAGCAAGAACTTGAGGTAACTCTGACTGAGACGAGCTGAAATCATACACACAAGTTGCCATGGTTGCAAGCTAGATCTGAAAACATGCAAGGTAGCTAAATTTTACGGTTCATTATAAGCGCCATTCACACAATTTGCAAAAGTTAAAATTGTTCTTTTACAGTCTGACCACCCAATCCTATTAGTCGCCTTTTACGTCAAACATGGGTTGCTGAAGACCAATTCTAACTTGGATCTTCATGGTCTGTTTTAGTCTATGTACCCTTCCAATAAATGGAACATTGATCATCCAAACTTTCTCCAACTTACTAATGTGTCAGAAGTACTACAGACTTATTGCAGGTCAAAGTGGTCAAACATTGCAAGAAGATTCAACCAGTCATAACCTAATATAATTTCTGTCAAAGCACAAGAATAGCTGCAGTGGCAGGAATGAAATGAGATAAATCTATCTTATTTCCAACTAAAGTTACTTTTGATAAAAAGCTGAAACTTTCCCAGAAAACTTATTTTTGTGAATGTGTTGTGTAATTTTTATTCATTTTAAAAAAAAAATGCGAGAGCAAAAGTAAGATGTTGCCATGTTTCACTGAATATTTCCTGATCCAAGACAACTATAGTGAGTGAGTGAGTATGGTTTTACGCCGCTTTTAGCAATATTCCAGCAATATCACGGCGGGGGACACCAGAAATGGGCTTCACACATTGTACCCATGTCGGGAATCGAACCCGGGTCTTCGGCGTGACGAGCGAACGCTTTAACCACTAGGCTACCCGACCGCCCCCAAGACAACTATAAATGTGAGGTTTATGATATCTTTGTAATGGCTTGGTGTTGTGTTTACTTTGCACGCTGGTGACCATCCTCCCATCTTTATCAGCATTAGTGAGAGCCTCCAGGAAGCCTTCGATGTGCATCAGGGGGGACTTCAACACAGGCTGGTCCCCACACCGCGACGCCGCGTCTGGAAGGCAACACATGCAGCTTACACTCAGACAAAGGATTGATTGTTTGTTGTTTAACACCACAATATTCCAGCTATATGACGGCGGTCTGTAAATTATCAAGTCTGGACCAAACAATCCAGCGATTGACATCAAGAGCATTGATCCACACAATCGGGTATGATGACATGCATCAACCAAGTCAGCGAGCCTGGCCACCCAATCCCATTCATTAGTAGCCTTTTACGACAAGCATAGTCGCCAGCCATGAGTGTCACCTGGGCTCAAACATGGATAGATCCTGGTAAATCTGTGCATGTCTATGAGAAGACCTGACAAAAGAATTTAATTTACGATTTTGGGGAAAATTGAAACTCATACCCCAAAACACAAGACATAATTTTAAGAACAGTGTCTGGGCAATAGTGTTTAGCCCCATTAAAAAGTTCGGAACAAAGACTGAAACCATACTTAAACGATATCAAAGGAAACATGAACAAGATGTGGATCCATGCTTGTGACATGAACAAGATGTGGATCCATGCTTATGACATGAACAATATGTGGATCCATGCTTATGACATGAACAATATGTGGATCCATGCCTATGACATGAACAAGATGTGGATCCATGCTTATCACAGTCTACCTGTAACTACTGCTTCTACCACGGGCTCCGACTTCCTGTTGATTTCCTTCAGAAATACCGACAAACCAGACTCTGTCTTTTTCTCTGTGTTACTTGGAGCTGCAGTGAGAAAATACCATAAATAGTGGAACAAATAAATACTAAAGTGATGGAAGCTTAGTGCATTCAGTGTAACATGTAGAATTTTTATTTAAGTCTTATTGTTTCTGTCAGAGGTGGTCTCCAGGGCATGTTAGTCAACAGGGAGACCCAGCCAAGGACAATTTCATTAACAATTACCTTGAATAAAACTTTAAATTAATTACTTATCATTTGTATTACGTGAAAATTGATAGTTAATAACAATGAAAAAAATAACTTTATGAGATGCTTATTGTGGCTTGATAGAGTGATCCATGGCTAGCTGTTTTCACAAATCGAGAAAAAAGGCAAACGTGCACACATAATACATGCAGTTGCTTTGTAGATTTGACATTTTGGTAATCAGATCTTCACTTTTATTCAGTACAGACCACGGGCCTTTTTGTACAGACGAAATACAATTTAGGTGCAACCGGTATAAGATATAATACATTTCTTTGCTTTTTTTAACAAAAGCAGTTTTAACATAATTGCACATTATACATGTTGGAGTATTTGTGTTCTGACAGTATTGGCATAAAACAAGTACTTTGCTGTGTTCATATTAATAATAGGGTCTTGCGATGACAGTAGTGTATTAAATTTCAGAATATTTGGAAAGATGTAAAATTAAGATTCTATGTAACTTTGCCTAAATTGGCAAAAGCTGGACAAATTAACAAAAAGTGATATTCATTTTCGAATGGTTTAAGTTACAAACTTTACATTTTCTAAATTCACGAGGAATATTATAATGTCGTCCACGTCCAATTTCTAAATTGTGAGAACTAAGCCGAAAACGAGTCAATGTGTTTCTGAATTTTGGTAATCAATAATGTGTTTCAATGTCCAGACCGACTGGCTACTCTCACTCACTGGGGGCAACCTCCTGTATCTGGTACTTCTCCACAAACCCATTCAGCTGAAACACAATGAACTTTTATGTCAGCAATGTTATGCAAATCTTATATTTCCCTTTGTATTTTATCAAATTCTTTATCGTGTTCATTTTTCTTCTGAATTATGAAACTCAGTGTTATGGTGCTGTAGCTCACCTGGATAGGTTGTCAACAGAATAAAACGTCAGCAGACAGTATCCAGACATAAGCACAAAACAAGTAACCAAATTCCAAAGAATGGATGTTCTGGTGTATCATACTTTTGCAATGTGAGATGAGGTGAAATGGGGTTGAACTTCGCGTCCAAGATTATTGCACTGATGTGGCAACGTGTATGCACTTGAGTGAGTGTGTGGCTAGTCAGGACTGATGCCGATTTATGTGCTAGCCCATTGAGATACCATGCCATAGTTTAACATGAATACCCCACTCAGACACAGTATACTGACTCCTAGTTTTAGCCCCTTAATGCCAAGCGCCAGACAGGGTTACAACAAGTAACATCTTCAATGTCTTTTGGTATGACACAGCTGTGGATCGAACCCCAGACCTTCCGCTCTCCGAGCAGACGCTCTAATACCAGACCACTGTTGCAATGTAATATTTCCAATCGTTTCACAAAAAGCACAGTAAAATCCTAATCATTTGAACCAAATATGTCATCATAAGGAGACATATACATGCCAAAAGTTCAGCCTTCAGTCTGGCAATTTCAGAGAAAAACATGTTTACAGTGCTAAGAATGTTTTTTGAGAGCATTACTTAAAAGCTTTACAGTACATTTTGAGCAAAAATGTCTAAACAGTAGCCATTAAAAGGGCTTTCAACTTGGTTGCCGTGGTGGCCATAGTGAAAATCTGATTCGAACCTCTTGAATAAATTCAAGTGTCATCCATCATGGGTGGGAACAAACCTGAAGTTTCAGCTTCATTGGCCCAGTGGTTACTGTGGACGCCATTACAAAAGCACACTTGACTTTCAGTCAGATGAGTTAAAAATATCTGGGGAGTCATCACAATTAATATCATTTTCAATATGGCTGCCATGACCATCATTGCTGAGAACAAACAGATGAATTTTCGGCCTTATTGATCCTGTGGTTTCTGAGAAGATATTTACAGACGACAAACAAGCAGGCTATAAAACTAGCTCACTTGACTTTCTCCCGTGAAGATCCTGGGTAGAATAGGTATTAGGCAACCCATGCTTGATGTAAAAGGTGACTATGCTTGTCATAAGAGGCGACTGACAGGATCGGGTGGTCAGGCTCGCTGACTCGGTCGATGCATGTCATCGTATCCCAATCGCATAGATCGATGCTCATGGAGTCAATCACTGGATTGTCTGGTCCAGACTTGATTATTTACAGACCGACATCATAAAGCTGGAATATTGCTGAGTGCAGTGTTAAACAACAAACAAAACAAACTCGACTTCAGCTAAAAACATAAGGTTCTGGAATGTTGGGACTTCCTCTGCCCACGAAACCCCATATAGGTTGCAACTGAGAAAAGTATACTCTAAGTATCAAGTCGACTTTACCTTCCGGCTTATCATGCTACGCCGACAGTAACGTAGCACTTTAAACAGATTCATGTTGTCCAGACTGGCTTGAAACAGGAAGTCATTGATCGTCAACAGACGGGTCTCTGGAAGTAAACAGCAGGAGAAGCATCACGAAACAGTCAAAGATGGCAGGAGTATTTAACTGACTATGTGGACCCAAGAGTTTATCTAGGCCTGCTCAGACCCCGATATCCTCCCCTTACAGGTCACAAATCAGGCGAAATTGGTCGCGTTGAGTAGATGGATAGGTGACTTTACTCCTGAGAGCTTCTACAGGTTCGGTCCTGCCCCACACTGAAGGACCTGTTAAGATGGTGTCTCCTTTAACAAGTTCCTTTGTTCAAAACATACCCTGTTCACCCAGCAGTGAATGAGAACTCGGTAGGATGAGATGGTAATGTGTCAACCTTCTGGCAGCTTGTGTTGTATGATCCCCAGGGAGATGAGAATGAAAATCGAGTGCACACTAATCCATTGACCAGTAGATGTAGTTATTTGAACATGATTTAGGGTGTGGATTTGGCGCATGATAAATATGGACATTATTTTTGGGGGATATAAGCGGAGTTTTAGGCCCAAATCCAAGGAGGTAAGAAACGGAGTGTGTGTAATGTGTGATAAGTGCCCTAGTAAATAGTACCAGCTAGCTCTCGCTATGACGTAGCTGATGACGTCAGCACCAATTGGTGTACTGTCACCATATTAGAAGAATAAACCCAGGATCGTGTCTTCAGTCTTCGTGTTATAGATATGGAGAGACCCTTGGAGATCCGGGGTAGCATAGGTCTTCAGCAACCCATGCTTGTCGTAAGAAGCAATCAACTGGATTGGGTGGTCAGACTCGCTGACTTGGTTGATGCATGTCATAGTATCCCAATTGCGTACATCAATGCTCATGATGTCAATCACTGGATTGTCTGGTCAGACTAGATTTTTTTCAGACCGCCGTCATATAGCTGTAATATTGCTGAGTGCGGTGTTAAACAACAAACAAACAAACAAGAGATTGAGATAGTTCGATACAAGAACTACATGAAATACATCAATCACATGGAGGTCAGCCAATACCCAAACCAATGTTCTTTGACAATCTATCAGGATGTGAGGTGAGGTGAAATTGGGTTTAACGTTGCGTCCAAGATTATTGCACTTATATAGCGACGTGCATGCACATGTATGTGTGTGTGGCTGCTTGTACTAGTCCGGACTGATGCCGATTTATAGTGCTAGCTCACTGAGATACCATGCCGCAGTTTAACATGAATACCCCACTCAGACACAGTATACTGACTCCGAGCCGACCAGTCCTTGTTTTAGCCCCTTAATGCCGAGCGCCAGACAGGGTAACAACAAGTACAATCTTTTAACGTCTTTTTGTATGACGCGGTCCGGGATTGAACCCTGGACCTTCCACTCTCCGGGCGGACGCTCTACCACAAGACCACGGAGGCGGTCCTATCAGGATGTAGAAAGATAGCAATTCAGCTTCCTCTGTAAGAGTGATAAAATGTGTGTGTATGCATTAGGACAATAACGATATCTGTGTCTTACCTTTTGCCCCAAGTACCTGTTTGTCTGCTGCTGTGTCCAGTTTCCCTGTGTAGGCAAGTAAAACGTTCATGTCAGTATTGCAATCATGGGAGTGGTTGAGTGAATGATATTTAACAAATATGGTCAGAAATACTACAAAAAACAACCTGCAAGTGATCAAGTCTGGGGTAGACAAACCAGTGGTTGATCGCATGAGCAATGACTTCCCTGTTATGCCGTCTTGACGACACAAACCAGATCATGAAGGGTAACTGTGATAAGGCCAAACTTATTTAAAAAATCAGTTTTGTCATTTGGTTTGCAGATGTTTGACCCAAAAATTCAGGTTGGTAGAAGAAAAAGTAGTAGTTTTAAAGGTTCATTTTCAACAGGTTTTAAGTATGGTATTTTAGGTTGAAGAAAAGAAAAAGTAGTAGTTTCTAAGATTTGTTTTCAACAGGTTTTAATTATGGTATTTTAAATAATTAATTCATATTGATGGTGACAGTAAATGAATTGGTTCTTAAACATTTTAAATTTATTTCTGGGCAGTGGAATAAAAAACCCACTGCTTTTTGGTTTTCCCCATTTAAAGTTTTGGAAATCGGCAGATTCGTAAAGCAAGTCCCTTAATAATGAAGGATGGGGTGATGATTGAAAACCTACCACCCAGGAACTTGACAAGGCTGGCAAGGACATACAGGAGTTGTTTCACATACATCAGATTCTTGGCTTTGAGACGTGAGCGGAACTTGGCCTCATACTGGCTGAGCTGAGAGTGGGCACGAAGCACCTGTCAATGGATATCAGACTAAAATCCTCCATACAGACAAACATGTTTGTTGTTTAATGCTGCACTCAGCACTGTTATGGTTAAATCATAGTGGCCTGTAAATTATGGTGTCTAGGCCAGACAATCCAGTGATTGATATTGTGGGCAACGTTCCAGCCTCTTGGGGTGCCATCATGCACAATTTACCAACACACCTTGGATAAGTCGTGGAGAGATGTGTGCACTTGAGGACAGACAAACAGGCCACAACATGAGCTCACTTGACTATAAGTTAGGTGATCTAAAAATGTTCTCCTTGCTTCGGGGGGCACGGGGGGCCCTGTCGACTAAGGCACCGCATGCTGGGCAGTATTTTGTGTGTTGACCTACCTGGGCCCCAGTGACCTCAGTGCTGTAGATGTTGTTGATGGTCTCCAGCAAGTTGTGTGCCTCGTCAATGACGACGATGTTCCCGCTGAGTTTGATGCCGCATGCTTCTCGTGTGGAGTGATGGAGCAATGTGTTGTAAGGGAGAGCAACAACCTGCACAACACAAGCAGTCACACATCATCAACTCAAACTTTGGTATCTTCATAAGTGTTTCAATGAATCCCCATGTAAATTTTTAGTAAAGTATTATTGATACTTATCCCGACATACTTATTGCCCTTCTCCCTCTCTCTCTCTCTGTGTGGCTATTGATGCAGATCAGAGATCGATAATCGTTAACTAAATATCAATATAATTATCAATAGATATCAGAGTGGTAACATAGAGCAAATACGCAAAAAGAAATCAACAGATTTCACCACACTGGTGAGTTGTGGCACAAAATGCAAGGATTACTTTGTGGACATTTCAGACATAACATCTTCGGCAATTGACATGATTGAACAATAACAAGTCTCTTTTGGTTATTTAAACTTTATTCCATCACAATAGTTCATGTAAGATATTATTGATGACACAATTTTCATATCAATAATCCTTATTATTTCTTCACATCAAAAATAATTTCGATTATCGATCTTTGGAGCCAGCCCAATTCTAACACAATCCCCTGAGGTGTTCTAAGGTGTTCCTGTGTCTGACCGTGAAGGCCTGATGAAGCTCTACATACCTCTGCTGAAGGGACAGCGAACCTCGTCCCAAAGTACGGACAAGCTCTATATCTAAAGTGTTCCTGTGTCTGACCGTGAAGGCCTGATGAAGCTCTACATACCTCTGCTGAAGGGACAGCAAACCTAGTGCCAAAGTACGGACAAGCTCTATATCTAAAGTGTTCCTGTGTCTGACCATGAAGGCCTGATGAAGCTCTACATACCTCCGCTGAAGGGACAGCGAACCTCGTCCCAAAGTACGGACAAGCTCTATATCTAAAGTGTTCCTGTGTCTGACCATGAAGGCCTGATGAAGCTCTACATACCTCCGCTGAAGGGACAGCGAACCTCGTCCCAAAGTACGGACAAGCTTTCACATCCCGCCCCAGCTTCACCAGCTGCTCAATGTCACCAATATTCAGCTGCAACAAGAGAATAATGTCATACTGACTTTCAGAAACATCAGTCGAGAAGCCATACAACATAGGCTGAATAATAGAATTGACAGAATCATTTCTACAAGAAGAGTGAGTTATAGTCACAAGGAAAGGTAATATTTCAGCCTAATCAAGTATTTCTTTATGAAATGTGTTTGGTTTTAAGCTGCTTTTTGCAGTATTTCCGTCATAACACGTCATGTCCTCTCCATGTGTGAACGAAGTCAGAAGCAACCTTCGAACCTAAGCAACCTAGAAACTCAATCAGTGCAAACTGGGATTCAAACCCACAATCAAGGGTTTCTGGCGTACCAATGAGATGCAACTCTGCAGCAAATTGCAGCACTTTAGACGACCGGGCAACCCGTGCCCCCTCCACACACAGTGAAAGCTAACATATTGGTGATCCAGGGAATGACCCTAGTCCACAGCTCATTTCAGAAAATCGGTTTATATAAAACCCAAAACTTGATTTTTGGGTGAAACCAACTAGTCCCTCAAATTTTTTACTAGTCTCGGACTTATGGCCATGTCTATCCCTGTGTTCGACTCGCGTGATTGTAGCTTTCATTGTTTTTAGCTGATTTTGTGCTGCAATCCTCCAAGTTTTGTGAAAAGACAAAAAGCAATTTGTTTCCGTGCTGCCATGTGTGACCGTTAAGTGGACAGCCGACTTACCAGTGCTCTGTCTGTGTAGTCCTGGATCAAGGACTGCTTATAGAAAGGACACCCAGCACTGTCTGTCTTCTTGCTCTTCTTGGCACCAGATTCCTTCGATTTGCCTGAATATAGATTGAGGATTGCAGACACTTTCTTCCAAATAAAACTTCTTTGCTTTGTCTGCAATAATCTTAAATACTTTAGAGCAAGAATTCAATACAAAGGACAAGTGCTGGCGATTAGATGTCTCACCCTAGGAGAGTGTGGGTTCAAATCCAGGATGTCAACCCCCAAAAGTACTAGAATCTGTACTTGGCTAAGAAAGTGTAATCCCAAATATAATATTTGTTACATTTCTAAATGGCATTATGTATTCAAAGAATTCCCAAAGTTTTGAAAAAGATTTTGAATTTTTTTTGTTGTCGCTTAAAATCTTATTTATATTTGATTTATTATAAGAAATTTACACAAAGGAGAAATGCAGAATAAGTGAAAAAATAGCCTCATGTATTGAGTATCTTGCATTTTGGGACATTGATGAAGCAAATCTGGGAAAGAAGACTTACCGATTGTATCGATGCATAGTTAGATAATTGTCACGATACGAAACAAGATACATGTAAATTTATATCGATACAAAATCTTATTGAAATCGGTATCCATTTGTTTGAGTAACAATTGATTTTTCTATTCAAATTGAAATGTCATCATATTTTCTGAATTTGACCTATACAAAAACTTGTTAGTTTCTGACACTTGTTTGAATAAACAGAATCAACCTTTTCGTATCGTGAGGTACCTGTAACGTGACACCCCTAGAAGTAACACAACCATGTAATACAGGCTCCAGTTGGTCACACTCACCTTTGTTCTTCTGAAGCTCCAAACAACGATCATTCATGAGACTGAGAGACTTCAACTTGCGGACACTCTCGTTGATACACAGAGTCTTGAAACAGACGGACACTTTTTGTATTTCAGTGATTCAAGGCATTCATGCAAAACAGGCTATATATTACAGCTATATCATGGCAGTCCTTCAACAATCAAGTCATACCCGGGGTTGATGTGACGTGGAACTCTTCAGAAGGACCAATAACTATTTCAGTAAATTCATATTTTACGTGCTACATTAAATAAATCTGGTTGTGTGGACAGGTTGGTTTATGGTGGGATAGGATGAACGGGAGTTGGTAAGTGCGAAGGTTTGTTGGTTGGTTAGTTTGTTGGTTTGTTGGTTTGTTGTTTAACGCCACACTGAGCAATATTCATGCTATATGACGACCTATTCTACCCCAGATCTTCACAGGGAGGACAATCTCATTAAAATGAGATCTTAGTTCTCGCTTCCGCTAAACAAAGATCTGAGGACATCCCATTACGGGTCACGTCAGACCGACCTTGTGCGAACTTTGACCGACCAATGGAATGACCAATCAGAAGGCAGCTTTCTTGTGCTTTACGGCACTTATTTCAAATTGGCGACTACGCTTCGAAACATATTTTGACAAATTCTCGATTACAAATTTGAAACCTGAACAAAAAAACCATTCTGGAATGGCTAATAGATGGTCTAGATTGTATGGATACAGTCCTTAAACCCGTAACTATCGTTCAGCGTTAAAGTTTTTTGAGGCTGCATCATCAGAAATCACATTCCGACTCACTTTCATAATCTGGTAAGTGATGCTCTGATTGGTCGGATGAAAGGTCGTTTTGAAATGACCCCTAATGGGATGTCCTCAGATCTTTGTTTAGCGGTAGCGAGACCTGAGGTATGATTTTAATGAGATTGCAGGGAGGATGGTTTTACGCCACTTTGAGCAACATTCCAGCAATATCACAAAGGCAACCATGGAAAGTGCTTCACCTTTTACCCATGGGGAAAAGATTCAAGGGCTTCTGCAATATGAATTATCACTACTAGGCTACTCCACCCCATGGCAAGCACCAAGCCACAGAGATAAACAATAATTCTCGATAATGAATTTGACGAAAAAACCTGGTATCTGACCTGTCGAGATCCGAGGGATGTTACCCGTGTGTTCTCTCCATATGGACTCTTGATGATTTCCCGGACAAACTGCGACAGTTGAGAATGAGTTCTGCTGCAGAAGTAGATCTAAATAACACAAACAGAACTCCTGAAACAGCTTCAGCAACTATTTGTGACTTATTTTTATTTAGAGAAACAATCCTTTCTAAAAGCACACATATATTAAATATATATGTCTGTTTGTTAATGTAAAATAAATGAATTTTCAGCCCACGAATTTAACAAATGAATTGTATGTCTTGTATTTGTTGACATTCATAGTCTCGAATGACATATCTCATCACACGACCTGTTACCTTGGTAACGTGTTCCTCTTCCTCATCTCGATCAGCCTCTTTCTCCTTGTCTTCATCATCGCTATGGTAATCCGCCAACACCAGCTCCTCATCACCATGACAACTGTCATTTTCAACCTGTGACATCTCTGCGTTGAATGATTCCTTCAGCTCCTGACTTGCATCTCGCATCAGCTCAGTAAACTCATCCTCAAGCTTGTCTCGCTTTTCAGATGAAACATTACTATACCCAATTAAAGCAACTCATCAACAACAAAAAACTGATAAAAAATGCAAGTTTTGTGCCAGAGCTGGTCTTAATTTTTATAATAACTGGCCAATATTACCCATAGGAGCATGGATATCTGCGCAATTACAATTTCTCATATCATATAATTTCTGCTTCATGCTGATTTCTGCATTGTCGCAAATAACTAAAGATGAAATTTTCAATTGTTCCCTACGTCATGTACAGATTATGCGACCTTCTGACAAAAGATAACTGGGATGATGTCCTACTTTCGATAGGGAAGTCCACTTTGTTCTTAATCTTCTCAAAAATGATGTGGTAATAAACAGTGTAACCAACTCGAAACTTGAAATTACGGCTTATCAGTGAAATATTGTGGACCTAAAAAGCTTAATCCCTTTGAACAGATAATCTGTCATTCTTCTTCGCTTGTAGGTTATAGGGTATTGGTCTGAGTTTTGTATCGCAATTTATTGAGTGGAGGTTTTTTCATCTGTAATTGGTTACAAACCTTAATAAAAAAACATCCCCACACATTTTTGACATCTTTGTATTTTGATGGATGTTGCTATGGTCACAATGGCTGGTAATGGACAGAGTTTACACAGGAAACTGATTGCAAGAAGATGCAGTTTTTCGATCACAAGGAAAAAGTTGCTAACTTCATAATTTAAATTTGACTTGTTGATTGTTGTCACTTACTTACATTTTGACAAGAAGATAAAAATATACATGATTTTGAAAAATGCAATATGCCGGTATTTTCCTAATGTATTGTGAAACATATTCATAAGTATTATATATTGTGGTATACTGGTATACTGGTTATACCGCACACCACTAGTAGGTTAATATCTAAATAGTTGTGTTTCTGGAAACCTGACACATGTTTATCATGTCTAGCAGTTTTGGGGAACTGGGAATTTCCATTATAACATTTTCACCCAACAAAATTTTAGATAATTGTTTGTTTTTTTTGCCAAAGACAATCAAATTATGTAACATGATAAAGAGGCAAATTTGTAAAAAAAATTAATTCACTAAAGACAATCAAATTTTAGGTAGAGGCAAATTAATCTCTACTATTACAGGGAAACAGCAATCTCCCAAACGTAAAACATTCAGGTTTATCAGTAGAAAATTCCTATTTTCAACAATTAGATAATATTATCTTTATTCAGGCAAGAGCTGAGAATATGTAAATGGACATCGTACCTTGCGTTTGCCAGCAAGATGAGGCAGGTTGGTGTGCAGCTTCTTCAGGCGAGCTTCTCTCTTCTGAGCCTGCTCTTGCTCCATCTGAAGACAGAACCTGGACTTGCCTACAATTCTCCAAGGATCACCTCGTTAGTTGTATATAAAATGTAAAGATGTTCTCAATATCATAGCTACATGGAGATTCTGCGTTAGGATTGGTCCCCAGCAACCTATACTGGTCGTAAGAGGCAACTGAATGGATCGTTCACACTTGGTGACTTGCAATGTCAATGTGCTCCAACGATGTGGACTGTCGCTCAAAATATCACTGGATTGTCTGGTCCAGATTTGATTAGTCATCCCTTGCCGGGTCTCGGGATCCATTGACAAACCCCGCTTCATCAGACACCTGTGTTATTCCTAATACGGAATGAAGGCCGGGTAATATCGTATTTTCTTGTGCATAGTGCACACTTGAGTATAATTGCTATTTCGTGTATTGTGCCTAGTCAAAAACTATGTCATATCCCGAATGAAAAAGAGATAACAATATTTGTCAATGAAAATGAGAAATTTGCGACTACACATCACTAGATATGATGATTTAACATTTCAATTGTACTTCCTGTTATCCTATTCAATGTTTTATAAGCAAAGTTGGCTTAAGGTTAAGACAACTGTGTGCAGTTGTATCGTAAACTAAGCTGGAATAGCCATGATAGCAATCAGTTGTGTACACAATTTGTCCCAATCTACCAGTGATTCAGTTAAAAATAGCAAGTAACATAACTTCAAAGAAATTGTATGCAATGATCAGAAGATAAAGTATCTGAAACTATTATTTTACCAGGAATTTTAGAGCAAAATTCACTATATTTATAATAAAAATAATAACTATAAGCATAGCACTTTTGTATACTGCGGCATATATTTTACGTGTGGAACAGTTTGACGAGTCACCATTAAGTCTCCAGCGGTATTACTATTTTCATCACGAAAACAAAATGTTAACATATAAAACTACAAACAATATGACTTTTAAGGAGTCAAAGTATGGCAGTTATGATATCTGTATCCATACTCTGGCAAATAAAGTTTGTTTCAAGGCGTCAATAGCGGTAATCTGATCGTGACTGCAGTAAATATGTAAGTTGGTGCTCTCACTGTATGTGGTAAAGTGGGCCCTATGGAACAGGGTAAACGGAAGTTATAAGGGGAGGGCATCAGGTGCAGTAACCATGCCGTTTCACACACAATTTCGCCAAAATTAATGTAAACAATTATGGCCGAATGGAAATGTGACGAATATTAATCAAATAGATTACAAACCTAAGTCCCAAGTCCAGATGCATGCATGAACATTTATTATACTATCTGTACTGAATTTACACAAGTTAATTCTGCTGTAAGGATTAACTTGTGTAATTCAGTAAGGATTTTGTTGTTGTAGATATGCTATTTCCAATGACATGAAGGCGTATGTTTGTGTGGCAAATAATGAAATTTATGGGAGCCATTGATTACCCGTCAGTATAGCCGAATCGACGTTATCGCAAAGGGCGTTATTGCGAGGGATGACTACATACAGGCCGCTGCCATATAGCTTGAATATTGCAGAGTGTGGCGTTAAGAAAGAAACAAACTAACAAACAAGAAACAGTTTTTACCTTGACATGTTTCAGCGACTCTTCCTTCTCCTTTTTGGCAGCAAACTCGGCCACCCAGTCAAGTTCTGGAAAACATACAGGCGTCACGTTTCACCAATGTATCGATGCATTCAAAATATTCACTCGATGATGATACACGATTCATTGAGAAATGTCACTGAATGATCGTTCATGAATATCCTCACTACGGCCCATGACTAAAACATGTAACCGCCACAGGTTCCTTAACAACTTCTGAAACATCTCCCGTCATGTTTATTTTGTCATCCATTTAGACATCTTGTATTTGATGTATTACGACACACTTTCATTGTGACTGACTTACTGAGGTACAGTAACTACGGTTATAATGAACTCAAATGGACCACTAATTTTAGTTCGGTATAACCGTAGTTCGTTATAAGCATATATATACAACATCTATACAGCAAACGTCCGGGACCAAAAATTAAGTTCGTAATATCTGTCTGTTTGTTATAAGATGTTTGTTATAAACATATTTTACTGTACATATTAACACAACTTTCCCATCTAATGATGATATTATTTGAATACATGTGCTGTGTCAGATGTTTCTGAAGACCAAGTTGTGCATACATACACTCACGTCACATCTCTTTTGAGGAACTATTTTCTTCTGCGATACAGCTGGTTGTTGTATGGCTGTCAGTGTGAAGTCACACACACTAAATAAAATTGTGTATAGATCTAGGCCTACATCCTTTGAGGTTAAAAGAGTGAGGGCCAAACATTGTATGAATGTCATGGCAGGCTCCCACGTTCAAACAGTTTAACCCTCACTGTATGGAGGTTCGTTCGTTCGTGAGTTAGTTAGTTAGTTTGATTTTATGTCGCTTTTAGCAATATTCCAGCAATACACGGCGGGGGACACCAGAAATGGGCTTCACACATTGTACCCATGTCGGGAATCGAAAGCAGGTCTTCAGCGTGACAAGCGAACGCTTAAACCACTGGGCTACCTGAACGCCCCCATACTCCAAAGAACTCCCACAAAGTGAAAGTCTGTTCTTAAATGTATCAGCACGTGAGGTAGAAAAACAAGAGTCATCAGAAGATGACAAATCCCCCGATCCCCACAAATTTGAAAGAACAAATCATCTGATTATTACAGCAAGTCGTACAAGAGTACCAATCTTATCAAGAGTAGTTATTGGGCTATCAAAACAATACCATGGCATTGGGTGTTGGAACTTTGTAATTGTATGGCAGGTCCTTTTTCACAAAGATGTGAGTTAGTGGATGTCAAACAATTGGTACATGGCTGATGCTGTAATTTGTAGTTATCAATAGTTACTGAAGCTCACCTTTCACATTAAACTTATGAAATCTTATACATTGCAGCTTTATAGAAATACAGAAATAAATATTTACTCTAAACATTTCCCTTTGGGCACCTTCACCATGTCCACTGATGAACAGCTATCCAGGTAATTTTGTGGTCTGACCAGAGACAAAGTCAAACTTGTCATTATGTAAACGGAACAAATAAAAATTGTGTTGCTTTAGACCTATTCTAATCCGGGTCTATTAGTTTTTGTGAGATACGGTCTGGTCTGTTGACATGGAAACAGAATTACCATATAAATTATCTCTTTACAGGGGCGGTTGGGTAGCCTCATGGTTAAAGTGTTCGCTCGACACGAGTTCAATTCCCGACATGGGTACAATGTGTGAAGCCCTTTTCTGGTGTCCCCCGCCGTGATATTGCTGGAATATTGCTAAAAACGGCGTAAAACCTCACTCACTCACTCACTCACTATCTCTTTACAACCTGGTGTTTATGTTTCATGAAAAACAAGGAAAGACAAAAAAATGTTGTTGTTTTTTAAGAAATACCAAAGCATCAAAAGGCACCAGTTCAGCACGGGTTTCATACATATGCAATGTTTCATAATAAATACTACACCGTTTTCAAGTTATCCTCCAGAAACAAATGCTACACTAATTTGAGTAATAAGTCCAGTTTGTTGCCATGAAAACATGTGTCCCAAGATGACAAGTGAGGTGAAACAAGATGACAAGTGATGTGAAATCAAGATGACAAGTGAGATGAAACAAGATGACAAGTGTGGTGAAATCAAGATGACAAGTGAGGTGAAACAAGATGACAAGTGATGTGAAATCAAGATGACAAGTGAGGTGAAACAAGATGACAAGTGAGGAGAAATCAAGATGACAAGTGAGGTGAAACAAGATGACAAGTGATGTGAAATCAAGATGACAAGTGATGTGAAACAAGATGACAAGTGATGTGAAATCAAGATGACAAGTGAGGTGAAATCATAATGACAGGTGAGGTGAAATCAAGATGACAAGTGAGGTGAAACAAGATGACAAGTGATGTGAAATCAAGATGACAAGTGAGGTGAAATCAGGATGACAAGTGAAGTAAAATCAAGATGACAGGTAAGGTGAAATCAAAATGACAGGTGAGGTGAAAACAAGATTACAGGTGAGGTGAAACAAGATGACACGTGTGGTGAAATCAAGATGACAGGTGAGCTACAATCTACAGGTATAATTTCAAACTGATTTACCTGGTGCTGCTTTTGATGCAGATTTCTCCTGTGGGGTGCTGGAAAGGAAGAGCTCAAGCATCAGCCTCTGATTAGAAGTGAAATGATTAAGCGAACTGCCATTGTCAATGATTTGCAATTGTCAATAATCAAATCCAACCATCAATATGGTTTTGATAGATGTAATAGAAATGGCCTGAATACTTTCACATTACATTAACAAATTTATCAATTACCTTATCACATGTAAATGACATTCAACATACTGTCATCATTCATCAGTGACAAACTGTCCTCAGTACCCAGAGGTAGAGGTAGAGATAGAGATAGACTAGTGTCCACACCACCCCCACAGTATAACAGGGAACACCAACCTTCCCCCCATCCCCGTAAAAAATAAAGAAATTAATAAAAAATGCCAAACCCCAACACACAGTACATAGTGTCCACACTGTCAGTGACAATGTGTGTCTGATCCCCCAACCCAACCACACACTCCTACCCTCAGTGTATGAATCTTGTCCTTCACACAGTACATCAATGACACCCTGTATATCAATGACACCCTGTATATCAATGACACCCTGTACATCAATGACACCCTGTACATCAATGACACCCTGTATATCAATGACACCCTGTACATCAATGACATCCTGTATATCAATGACACCCTGTACATCAATGACACCCTGTACATCAATGACACCCTGTATATCAATGACACCCTGTACATCAATGACACCCTGTACATCAATGACACCCTGTATATCAATGACACCCTGTACATCAATGACACCCTGTATATCAATGACGCCCTGGACATAAAAGACACCCTTGACATCAATGACACCCTGTACATCAATGACACCCTGAACATCAATGACACCCTGTATATCAATGACACCTGTATATAAATGACACCCTGTACATAAATGACACCCTGTACATCAATGACACCCTGTATGACGCCCTGTACATCAATGACACCCTGTACATCAATGACACCCTGGACATCAATGAAACCCTGGACATCAATGACACCCTGTACATCAATGACACCCTGTACATCAATGACACCCTGGACATCAATGACACCCTGAACATCAATGACACCCTGTACATCAATGACACCCTGTATATAAATGACACCCTGTACATCAATGACACCCTGTATGACACCCTGTACATCAATGACACCCTGTACATAAATGACAACCTGGACATCAATGACACCCTGTACATCAATGACATCCTGTACATAAATGACACCCTGTACATTAATGACACCCTGAATGACACCCTGTACATCGATGACACCCTGAACATCAATGACACCCTGTACATCGATGACACCCTGTACATCAATGACACCCTGTATGACACCCTGTACATCGATGACACCCTGTACATAAATGACACCCTGTACATCAATGACACCCTGTATATCAATGACACCCTGTACATTAATGACACCCTGTATGACACCCTGTACATCGATGACACCCTGTACATCGATGACACCCTGTATATCGATGACACCCTGTACATCAATGACACCCTGTATGACACCCTGTACATCAATGACACCCTGTATATCGATGACACCCTGTACATCAATGACACCCTGTATGACACCCTGTACATCAATGACACCCTGTATATCAATGACACCCTGTACATCAATGACACCCTGTACATCAATGACACCCTGTACATCAATGACACCCTGTACATCAATGACACCCTGTACATCAATGACACCCTGTACATCAATGACACCCTGTGTCTCACACATACAGTACCTGGAGGTGGTATCCTCTGCCATCAGCTTCTCAAGCTCCTCCTGCTGTTTCTGCTGATAGTCTCGCAGCCACTTCAGAGCCCCGCATATAACACTCAATGACTTGCCCTGCAGTGATTTGGACACAAAGCTATATATAAGTCAATGACTTGAACCAAGAAATGTAATAAGTCACTGGTAAAACTCAATAAGTCAAATAAACAAGCAACAAAATTCTGTTAGGACAATCTTTAATTGCCACAAGAAAAGCGTTGGCTAAGTCACGATAGCTCCTGACGTTTCCCTATGATACTGAAAGTATCATATCAAGACCAAACTGCTCAGGATTTCAATTACGATTTGAGATGGCTGTGCATTGTTTTATTAATCGATGCTGTAAATAGGACCTTACTATTTAGTTTTTAATTATGAAATTATGAAACATGTCAATCTGTCAAATTGAAACTGTATTGGTCTATGACCAATGACCGACGGCCATCTGAAACTCTATCGCACATGTAGTAAACTCATTGTAACCATGGTAACAGGCATGGAATATTTAACAGTTTACATTGCCATCTTGTCCTAAGGTACAGACGAAAGTGATCCATCTGTGTGATTTTGACAAGAGCCCTTAATATGCTGAAAATAGTTTTTCATCCGTGTAACATGTCAGACATGCAAAAAACAAAATAGTCAACTGCTTTGAACTACTGCAGCATGTCCTTGAACATCGGCATTATAATTATTACTTAGGATGACAGCATGAATTTAATCCTGTGAATATGCTTCACATCTTCTTGAGGCAAGGGAGTTAACTGACTATAAAAGTCCAGTTTCCACCCTTGCCGCACTAGGCAGGAATTATGGAGTTACATTTTGGCTGGACTAACGAGTCTATGCATATTCCAATCAAAATCGCGGTTCGTAAACATCATAGTGACTGCCGTGCAGATTTCAGTCGACTGAAGGATTCCAGAGCATGTGTGCCGTGACTCGTCATCGACAAATATTTTTTCAAATATTTTCATGATATGCATCAAGGTTCTCAAGTGATTTGATGCACTTCGCGAGATAAGACGCGTTTTATTATGACAAAGATCTTTATTATCGATCCAATCTTCTTGATTGAGGGGCGGTCGGGTAGCCTAGAGGTTAAAGCGTTCGCTCATCACGCCGTAGACCCGGGTTTGATTCCCGACATGGGTACAGTGTGTGAAGCCCATTTCTGGTGTTCCCCGCCGTGATATTGCTGGAATATTGCTAAAAGCGGCGTAAAACCAAACTCACTCACTCTTCTTGATTGAGCACCGCCATTTTGTTTGAAACAAATGTAAGTGCTTTGACAAGAGGAACCTGCTTGGTCACTAGGAGGGATATAAAAGGGAACTCGTAATAGCCACTGGTGGCGCTACCATCGAGCCACGAAATTCCAGCCTAGTTCGGCAAGGGAGGGAACTGGAGTTTTACAGTCAGTTAACTCCCTTGACCCGAGATGATGTATGCTTCTTCATGACAATTACATATGTTGGAGAACTGGGAACAGTAAAACTTTTGGAATAAAATATCCACATTATCTCATTGCTAAAACAAATACTAAGGGCTGTCACATTTCCGTAGGGTTGGTTGCAATATTTGTTCATATAGACTGATGAGATCAGAGTTCCTTGTCCAACAAACATACATACACATTTCCATCTTCCCAAAGCAAGGGAGTTAACTGACTTTAAAAGTCCAGTTTCCACCCTTGCGGAACTAGGCTGGTATTATGGAGTTACATTTTGGCTGGACTAACGAGTCTATGCATAGTCCAATCAAAATCGTGCAACGGAATCGAAATCCGGTTCGTAAACTGTCCTGCAGATTTGGGTCGATTGCAGGATTTGCAAAGCATGTGCACCGCCAACTCGTTGTCAACATATATTACCAAATCTTTTCATGTTTGTAATCAAGGTGCTCACACATTGCGTGTTGTAAGACCCGTTTTATCACAACATAGACCTTGATTATCTATCAGATCGTCTTGACTGGGCGCCACTGTTTTGTTTGAAGCAAATGCAAGTGATACGAGAGGTGGAATCTGATTGGTCTAAAGGAGATGCTTAGAAGGGACATAACTCGTAATAGCCACTGGTGGCGCTACGATAGAGCCCAGGAATTCCAGCCTAGTTTTTAAAGTCAGTTAACTCTCTTGCCTCGGGAAGATGACACATTCCTAACAATTGCAATTTCTACTTACAGTCCCAGTTGGACTCTCAAATATTCCAACTTTGCCAAGTTCAAGACAACGATACAGCTGTTGCATGAAGCCTGTTTGTATGTCATACGGCTCAAAGGGAAATGGAAAGGATTCTGGGACTGTACATTGTGTCTCTGCAAAATAAAAGAAAACATGTATTAATCATATCACCAGGGAACTATTTAGGAATCAAAACTAATTGCAGGGATTTATCTACGATTCTAAACTACATGCCCCGGCACATTGGGAAAGTAGTTATTTTGTTCAAAATTGGGATTTTTTTAAAGTTCAAATTTTTCTTAAACTCAGAGAATATTGAGACTGTATTTAATGTGATAATATAAAAAGAAGCATTAAAACATGTTTCTATTAATTGGTCTTGCTATAAGTGAATTTGAAAGGTTAATTTTTTCCTAAAATATTTTAACATTGTATTTTAATAATGCATTCTATGCAATAATGTAACATTATAAAATAAAGCTTCTTCTTCACTGGACCTGATATACAAGTTTGTTTGTTGTCTAACACCCCACTCAGCAATATGACGGCGGTCTGTAAATAATCGAGTCTGGACCTGACAATCCAGGGATTGACATCATGCGCATCGATCTATGCAATTGGGATACTATGACATGCATCAACAAAGTCAGCAAGCCTGACCATCCGATCCCATAAGTCGCCTCTTACGACAAGCATAGTCGCCTTTTACGCAAGCATGGGTTGCTGAAGACCTATTCTACCCCAGATCTTCACAGGTCTGATATACAAGTAAATTAAACAAGTCAGCTTGACAAAGTCATAACATTAACAGTAGTTATAACTATCATGACTATAATAACAATAATAGAGACATTCTTAATTCCAATTTGAGAATTTTCACTGTGTTTAATGCCAAATGCAGACTATGGGCAGGTCTTGATAAATCTGTGATCATTCTGAGAAAGTTAAGTATTATTATATTAATATGGTACTATTTCAAATCACAGATCTTAACATGTTTATCCGAAGTAAAAGCCTAAATAAGAATCACTAACTGTTTATTCTGAGCAAAAGTGTTTTATCATGATTAATTTACCACATGTTGTGTACATGTACCTGTGTATTTGGAAAAATACTTTTTGTTCATTTCAAGAAATCTCCATTCAGCATATCCAAAAAGACTTTAATAAACGAAGAAAAATTTAAAGTTTTGAATATGAAAAAAATTCTATATTTGGCTCAATACTGCAGTGCACTGATACACTATTCTAAACTACGGACACTTAATCTTTTTTTTTTTTCAGGGTTATCAAATCATTATGACCAATGATATTGACATAATTAAATACATACCGTATTCGACATAATAAGCGCCCAGGGCACTCTCAAAATTAGAAATAGGGGGCTCTTATTAGAATAGTATTTTGGTGACAGCCTGAAATGTTTATATACAACAGATATATTTCTCCAGAATGTAATTAAGGGTGCATATAACACACAAGTGCGTATTATACACGAATAAATAAGTCTTATGTACATGAATCAGTCGGAAGGGGTGCTAATTGGGATTGTTCACTAGCCAATATAATAACAAATATCGCCATGGGCGCTTATTAGAGCGGGGCGCTTATTACGTCGAATATGGTAATACATAAACTGTCAATTGGGCGCATCATTTGTATGAAAATAGTTACAGTGAGTTTGGCTCCAGCAGAGTTAGTGTGTGGAGCCTTTGACAACCGAAAACCTGTCCCCAGTAAGTGAGTGAGTTTGGCTTAACCCTGCCTTCAGAAGTATTTCAATTATATAATGGCATGTCATCTTGATGTGGTAGGAAAGCCCGAAAAAATGCACATCTTAGACTTTAGTGAAACCTGACAGGATGGTGCTGACAAGCCTAGAAACAACATTAGGGTGAATCTGGGGTTTGGAATCATCCAGCAGTGTACAATACTCAATAGTGCACTCATTTAAGAACTTCTTCACAGCTACAGACTGTAAATGCTAGAACAGTTAACTACTACAAATCATTTTTACTGGATAGAGTGGGAATGTGGAATGAATTACCGGATAATGACTTCACTAAATGTATCACCACAACAGCAAATCCCAAAATATTTGGCTTTAACTTAGACTATGCAGAGACCATTATAATAGATATTATGGTTATTATATGGTCTCTGGAGTATTGTTCCCATTTCTGTCAAATCGTCCATTCCCGCTTCAGGTTAGGATGCAGTTAAAAGCACACTTATATAATAGACATATTTATGAGTCTACTACTTGTACTACCCTTTTGGGACCCGTGAAGATTCCGGAGTAGAATAGATCTTCAGCAACCCATGCTTGCCGTAAAAGGCGACTATGCTTGTCGTAAAAGGCGACTATGCTTGTTGTAAAAGGCGACTAACAGGATTGGGTGGTCAGGCTCGCTGACTTGGTTGATGCATGTCATCGATCCCAATTGCATGGATCGATGCTCATGATATTGATCACTGGATTGTCTGGTCCAGACTCGATTATTTACAGACCGCCGTCATATAGCTGGAATATTGCTGAGTGCGGCGTTAAACAACAAACCAACCAACCAACCAACTACCCTTTTGGGGGAAATAAATATTGTTTAAATCAATAGTGCACTCAATGGATGCATAGGATCCATCAACCATATTGTATCCCATACCATCAGCTGTTGTGGTGTTAGTATTATCACAGCTCTCGCCATCAAGTCCAAGCTCGAATCCTGACAACAGTTCATCACCCTCATCATCGAACTCATCCATGTTCCAGCACTGTAGATCTGTCAGCTGACGATCATAGGTTTGTCCAAACAAACAGGCCAAACGAAACGGAAGCTAGTATTTCCGCCTGGTACTGTCAACACGAGGGTTTTAGTTGAGAATTTATTATTTACAATTTCTGTTCTTTTTGTGTGGCTTTAGTAGTTTTACATCGAGTGCTTTCACCGTGCACACTGATCGAAACATCACCTACACGTCTCTTCGAATATTCGCGCCATTTAACGACTACTTTACGGTTGCCTTTTTTTAGACAGACAGATAGAAATGAATTCGAATATATGGTGTGAGTTAGTACCGCCATCGTGATGTTCGTGATTATATAAATAGGTTATCAAAACATAAAGCATATCATTTTGATTTACAACATTGTCGTAAATATCAACCAGTAACAAGTTTCGGTAGATATGAACTTCCGGGATTGAGTCGCGGTATTTACAAATTTTGTGTTGACAACTTCATCACTCAACGGTTTGCCTAAACGTCTTCCAGCGGCCACATGTTTAAAAGATTAATCATGGGCCTCAATCGTACTTTGACCTTGGGTCATTCAATCAGCGTATCCCTGCAAATGATGAAGTGAAATTTCGGACATGGAAGTGGAAGAAACTTGAGACCAGTCGCGAGGCTAAAGGATGGGAGAGGGCCGCATCTTGGTTCAGGCGACTGTGACATCTATCAGTGATGACCACATACTCTACCCCTGCTGTGTCCAGTGCTACAGCAAGATGCTGCAGGACATTCACTACAAGAATAACAGGTAATGCAGCGTCAAACAGTCTACAATTGGTCAGGCAAAAATAAAGGAATATTTGTCACTGATCATGCTGATTGTGTTTCCTATTTCATCACAAAATAGGGTAGCTCATGTCGATATGTCGGGTTTCTTTCGTGGCTTTACTTTGAAAAATGCAATATGTCACTGTCAGTATGAGCTTGCTTTTAAATGAAGATCATAAAGGACCTGTTTATCTAAATGCATGTTAGTGAAGCACAACTGATTATGCTTACACCATGTACACTGGGGCCTAGTGACAATAAATCCAGACAATATCAGGAGGGTGATAAAAGCTATGATACAATTTTGAAAAAAATGAGAAAAAGGATGAAGGTCGGTCGGTAAATCAAAAACTTATTTTATTTTGTCCTCACTATCAGCATGATCAGTACCAGTGACTATAGTGGGATACACCCACCCATCTTGTCTAAATATTTGAATTCCTTGCATCAACCAAGTCAGGAAGCATGACCACTCGATCCCAATTGTCGTCTCTTATGACAAGCATAGGTTGCTGAAGTCCAATTCTTCAACATGTTCACGGGGAACTTGTAATAAATTGGTTTCTTAGGAAATTGAACTGTGTGGTAACACTGTGATACATGACATAGGCGATCCCTTTTCACGTTGTAACCAAGAGCTAAATAGTCATGTTAGTGCAATATCTGGAACTGATATGTTGTTTTTGTTATATAAAGGTGGCATATGTTTATGATTAGGTTTAGATTTTATCCTATCATGACAATACAAGGAACTTGACCATGCTGCCTTGTTGACAGCGATAGAAATTGGCACTAGTCCTATTGTCCTTGCCAAAGTGCACAATAGTTGTGATAGTTAAGGTACTTAGGTATCATAAGGACTAACTGAAATTTGCCATTTTGTGTGGGTTTGTAAGGACTAGTGGACTAAAAAGGTTAGTTTCTATCACTGGCTGATGTTTTCCACTTCATAACATTTTACAAAATACTCTACCAATCCAAATATTTGATGAACTTCAAGATATAAAAGGTAAATATGGTAAATGTTTCAGGATCTAGGGGATATAGAAATGTCAACAATATTCCACTGTGAACTGTGAGTTTGTAAAGCAACCAAAGGTCAGGTCAAAATCAGCATCAGATTCCGTCATGGAAACTTGGTATATAAGAATGTAACTGAAGGGGCATTCTTAGCTGGATGAACAACCTAGACATTATACTGTACAAGTGGTGCAGTACGTACAATTTTGAAGCTACACTTTGGCCTGTATCCGTTCTGTTTTAGCCAAATTAATTGACACAATTTTCCTCTTTGTGCTATTTTTATTGTAGCCATTGATCTGGCCAAAAAAAATGAAAAAGGTGATGTGATTCTGATTAAACATCGTAATCATTCTTATTTTAGTTGCCAATCATAATCTGATTTCACTGATCATGCTGACTGTGACCAGGAAAAAGCACACATGAATATGAATACAAACACAGCATATAGCATACAGTAGTTCCTCAAATAATTCATGGTTTTAACATCTTTCAATAATAACAGAATTTACCTTTCGACCATGTCAGCTCTATTCCAAAACATGCTAAACATATAAAATGAAATGTTATGAAATGTGAACCATGCTATTATTTTGTTTGGGCATGACTAAGATTATTGAATGCGAGATTGATATTTTTAAAAATTATGACTTTATATTATTGATGTACTCAGTCTCTTATGATTCATAATTTTTGCATACTAGGTGGCGCTGTTTGAAGTGTGGTGAATCTTGCGGTGTGGAGGAACTTGAGTGGCGGTACCGCCTCCGTATGACAGTAGCTGACACAAATGAGTACAGGCAGGTGGCTGTGTTTGGTCGGACACTACAGCCATTTTTTGGCACAAGCGCCAACGCATTTCACAAGTAAGGAACTGACAATATTTGAGATTTTTCAGCATTGGAGGGGACTGGGATTTTTAAATTTGTTCGTATCCTACTTTTATATTATCAACATACAGATGTAATTAAATATTATAACAGATATAGAACTGAATGAACCTAAGGACATGACCAGATTTGATTGAATATGTATCCATGTTGTAATGAATATCTTTCTTTACGTTTATGAATTGTCAGGACAACAATATGAAACCCTCATCTATAACAAATGATAAAGTTGATGTTGATAAAGTTTCATATTTTCATAAATATTTCACAACATTGTATTGTACTATTATCACTTTTTGTTTCTTGAGAAATCATTGGATGAAACTGGATAGTCACGTCATTGTCCAAGGTTGAAACATACAATTTGTGGTACTATCAAGCTGTACATGTTCACCGTTTCAGATTCTTGTCGTACCTCCAGAGGACCAAGTGCGAGGTAGCTGACACAACTCTGAAACAAGCCATCTACCACGTGTTCGTAGGGCAACCATTCCTGTTTGGGTTTGCATCAGCCAATCAACCTAAATCTGATATATCAGTCTCCAGTTTGTCCCATGTTGCTGGTGGAAAGGGAAGTAACTCTGACCTAATTGCTGTCCAGATGATATCAACTAATTTAAGCCAGATGGGTACTGTTTCTCAACAGATGAGTCAACTTTTGAACAGGCACACTGCAGACTCATTCCGTCAGCCGCCATCAGAGTTGACAAAATATAATAACAAAAGTCCGCTGTCAGTGTTTGTCGGAAAAGGGAGCTCTAATGAAACCAGGGAAAACCTTTTCAATTCATTCTTAGAAGTTTCAGATAACAGTAATGTGAACAGCCTCCTTTCAGTTCTGCTAAGCTGTGAAAACTCTTTATCCAACACTGTTTCAGTGTCTTCAGCTTTTTTGAACAGCGCTGACTTGACAGAGGATAGAACTATGATGAACGAGGGAAGTAGGATTGGACCTGTTAGTATGTCTTGTCAAGATGACGTCGTTACTGATCCTATCACTGGCAAGACAGTAGTCCAGCTAGGTAATGAGTTCACAGATGCTGATGAGACAATGGACGAGGGAAGCAGAGTCTCACATATTATGCCTTGTGAGGATGACATCAATTCTGATCCAGCTATGGACAATACTTTGGGTAAATATTACACAGATGCTGATGAGACGATGAATGAGGGAAGTAGAATCCCACATATTATGCCATTTGAGGATGACATCAATTCTGATCCAGCTATGGACAATACTTTGGGTAAATATTACACAGATGCTGATGAGACGATGAATGACAGCAGTCTCCTGCTTGCTGTTGAGGAGCCATCTTCATGCAATTCCCCTGAACAGGTCCCTGTCAATATTAAATCTGTGAATACAGATACAGAACAGTCTCAAGTGAGTAGTGTTGATAGAACTGTGTTCGGCTGTAGACAGGACCATTCAGCTGAAGCTAAACATGGTAAAGGTGGAGAAGCACCTGCTGATGAGTGGGAAGAAATGCCTTATTCAGAAGACCTGGATGAGTTTCTCCACAAAGCAGCGACAGAGAAACATGGACACGGCGTGTTACAGAAATCTATTGCCATTCATCGCAAGAGCCTATCGGGACATTCAGACTTTACTCTCAACACTGGAGAGAGTTTCAGACATGACGATGACAGGGAACTAGAACCTGCTGTATGTGGTGTCTGGACGTGTGATGAGGTTGTAGTTGACAGTGAACAAATACCTTGTTTTGAGGATTCCCGATCTCAAGTCAGCTATGTGCTGGAGAGGGCAGGAGATGGGTGTGGCCAACACCAGGGAAGCATGTCCCACAGGGACACAGTAACAGTTTCACATCCTTGTGGAACTGATTATACAACTACTCTGAATGAAAGAAGTGATGGGATCTCAACCATTGATAAAGATGTGTCACAGTCTGTAGATAAAGACAGGCTTCTTGTATCCAAAGGTGTTGTTGAGACATTGGCAGCTGGGGAATATATGAAATCTTGTAATTACGTTTCAATGCCTGTTGATGGAAGAATGGTAGCAGAACATACCATGTGTGGGAATGTGGACACAGTATGCTGGGAGGATATGCCAGAGTCAGAGGACCTTGAGAAGTTTCTGTTGGAAGCAGGAGGGCCACATGGTCCTGTCACAGACCAACACTCTACGGCACAGACCATAGCAGACCATCACTGCAGACCACAGACCATAGCAGACCATCACTGTAGACCACAGACCATAGCTGATGATCATCGTAGGTCACAGACAATAGCCGTTTCAACTAGACAGGAAGATCCTGTAGAGCCAAAAGTCTGTTTGGAAAAGTTCTTTGAAGAATCTTTTTCCGGTGATGACTCTGTTTTCTTCACAGGTATACTGTCACCTTTGGGTAAGAGAACAATTATTAATGGTGTTAATAGTAACAGTATAAACTCATTCAGAACCAGCCATCATGTCAGTTCAGATACGTGTGTGTTAGGACCTGTTGCTTCATTGACCCCTCAACATCAAGGAAACAATTCAAAAGACACCAAAGCAATGTCAGGAGAGGCAAGCCAGGCCCTTTCTAGTAATCTACAATCACAGCATTCAAATTGTGACAGTGTTTATGAGCAGTTGAGCATTGGTTCAATGGTAACGGAAAAGACAGATCAAACAGGGACATGCTCAAGTGTGTCCAAAGGATGTGATGCCTCTCTGAATGGTTCCACTGAACTGTTTGACGTCAGTGGTGTGGATCTATTTGAATGTTTGAGTAATGAAGAAGAAAAATGTTTGGTGGAAGAAGATCCAGGAACTGATTTAAAGGATGTGTCTGCAGTTTGGGATTCAATGGTGGAGACAAAGGACATCCTATGTCAGAATGCTTTGTCTGAAGGTGTGGTTCCAATTGTGAAGGATTTGTCTGCAGTTTGGGATTCAATGGTGCAGACAAAGCAAGGTGTTCTTTTTCAGGACAACCCTGAAGCTTCACCAGGATTTCAGAAACAGGTAAAATTTGCTAAACGTTTGAGCCACATGAGTTCCATTCAGTTGATTGATATCCGGATGAAACTGAACTTTGCTCTTCCAATGGACAGTCAGCTGACTCCGATGAGGTCCTGCTTGCGGAGTGTCCCAACACCTGAGGTAACTAAACATGACAGAAAGTGCCTGGAAGGGAAAGAAAACCAGTCACCACTCAAGGTCATCTCGGCTGTGAAATTTGTCCAGAAACAACCAACACTGTCACATCCTGACACATCAGTGTCAACACAAAATGATACAAATGATTTAGGGCCAGTACACAGGAGCAGTGATGGTGACAACATAGATGATTATTGCTTTCAACAGTCACAAGATCTGTTTGCAAACAGTCAGCTAACAGATCATGTAGACTGGAGTAGCACCTCGGACTCTGACACATCACCTACAGCAGGTGGTGGATGTGATCAACCTCCAGAAAAACTTGGAAGCATCAATATTTATCCATCCCAAAGCCATAACACTGTCAGGCACTCTGATTCATATCAACCTCAAAGAGTTATCCATGCGGATGGGAAATCAGGTAAATGTCATCTGGGTGTGTTTGTTTGTGATGGAAGAAGCGGAGGAAGACACTTGCCCCCGACCAGCAGGGATTACTTTAATGGGAAGGACAATAAATATAATCATAAGAATATGTCCGACTGTGATAATGAAACTGCCCCGTGTGTGTTCAATGGGGCCAATGAGTCCTGCAGTAACACTGCGAAGGATGAGGACACCAGTCAGGTGCTCTATGATGGGTCTCCACTGCTGTTCTCCCAGGCAGACCAGACACCCTGTCAGGTATCCAGCACCCCTATCGGGCACTGTAGCACTGAGGAGTTGGGCCAGGGGCTTACACCAGACTTGTTCAGTCCTTGAAACAACCCATGTCCTGTTTTCGGTTCAAGTGAGTCCAGCAACCTATGCTTTGTAAGAGTGAGTGAGTTAGCCATATTCAAGCAATATCACGGCGGGGAACACCAGAAATGGGCTTCACACATTGTACCCATGTCGGGAAGCGAACACGGGTCTTCAGTTTGCCTAGCGAACGCTTTATCCACTGGGCTACCTGACCGCCCATATGCTTGTAAGAGATGACTCTGCTAAAGGTCTGTGGTCATGCTCAGTGACTTTGTTGATTGTGTGTCATCGTACCCGGTGGTGTGTGATATTGCCCAGAGTACCAATCACTGGTATATCTTGTCCAAACCAATCTCATTAACATCAAATCTAATTTCTCGCTGCTGCTAAACAAAGATCTGAGGACATCCCATTACGGGTCACGTCAAAATGACCTTTCACGAACTTTGATCAACCACTGAAACGGCAAACAAGAAGTCGTCATCAGCCAATTAAATTCTTGAGCTTTACGGCACTCGTTTCAACCTGGCGATTTCCATTTTAGACTACGCTTGAACAATATGTTGACACAGTTCTCGATTAAAATTTTGAAAACTGAACAGTCGAACATTCCGGAATGACTAATGTATGGTTGAGACTGTATGGCAGAGCTTCCCACGAACTGTGCAAAGCCTCCTCTGTTCAAATGTTTATTCCAAAAAAGCGAGAGTTAGACGATAATTTTGACGGAATCAGTCGTACGGGTCGTAACTGTCGTTCGGAATACCCCATGTTAACGTTTCCGAGGTTGCATGATTAGAAAAGACATTCCGACTGTCACTTTCATGATCTGGTAAGCGACGCTTTGATTGGTCGGATGAAAGGTCGTTCTGACATGACCCGTAATGGGATGTCCTCAGATCTTTGTTTGGCGATAGCGAGAACAAAGATCTGATTTTAATGAGATTGTGTCCAAACAATAAACAAAACAAGCTTTGTGGTATACCTACTGGCACATAACTTGGATGGTATGGTATGAGCATTGTCCACAATGGTGTTCTTTGTGGTGTGTATCTGGAGAATCATCATCTACTTCTTCATGACCAAAGCCTGACTACAGCCAATCAAAATGTAGCACAAGTAAAGTTCTGCCCAATCAAAATGTTCCAAAAAACCTAGTTGATATTTTCAGGTATGCTTCTTCACTGTTGAAAAGTATATTATAGTCCATCGTTCCCCACTCATCCATCCAAAGTTGATAACCATGGTTACGTGTGTTTTGAGTAGTTAATCAATGCTCACTATTATTGATTATTAAGAAGTTGTTTGGGCAATACAATATGTTTAATCCAGTTTAAAGGGATCGGGGAACAATGATTGAATCTGTGATATGAATGTTATTTGATCACATATTATGTATTTGTAAATATGCCAATGAAATGAAATTGTTATGATGTTTTTATTTTCATCAATGATATTAAACACCTTGAACTATTCAGTTATGCTTGCATTATTCCTTAGTACCCCTTTATTGTACTCCTAAAGTACCAGCCCACCTGAGTGGGCTTGTGAATGGAGGGTCTTCATGGACAGGGAAGGTCGGGGAATAGATCCTTGGCTGTGCCATACGTTAAAAGATGGAACTTTATGTTACCTTGCCTGGCACTTGGCACTAAGGGGATAAACATGATAAATCAAGGACTGGTTCAGCTAGGACAGTATACTGTGTCTCAGGGTGGCTATATAAGTGCAATAATCTTGAACACGGCGTTAAAACCCCATTTCAACTCCACTCTAAAGTGACATGGTCCAATTATCGTGAGTCCCAATCCCAGAGTTGCCCTTATGATTATTAGGTCAACAACCATCACTTGGGGTCTTCCTCCCACATCAAACTGACATGCCGAGATGTAACTGGAATACCGTTTAAAGCCCTGGGAAACAATCCTTCTCGAACCCACTCTTATTCCGGTACCAGGTTAGAAATAGCCCCCTACGCTTGCCATACGAGGCTATTAAGTGGATCAGATGGTCGGGACTGGTGTTGTACCCCCATCCATGAAGTGTTGCTCACACTATTAACCACTGGTTTGTCTGGCCCAAACTTTATTACTGTACCAGCTGTCGTGATACAGCTGAAATATTGCAGATTGTGGAGTACAACAAATACTAGAATGGCCTGTTATTTTTCACTCTCACTCAATTGCCTCTGTGATCTAGTGGCAGAGAGTCTGCCCAGAGGGAGGAAGGTCCAGGGTTCACGTTAAACGATGGTACTTCTTGTTACCTTGCTGGTTTGGAGACAGTATACTGTGTCCGAGTGGAATATTCATGTTAAACTGCAGCACAGTATCTCATTGGGCCAGCACTATAAAATCGGCATTAGTCTGGACTGGTACAAGCAGCCACACTGACGTTCATACACATCACTATATAAGTGCAATAATCTTGAATTGTAACTTCAAGTGTTAAACCCGTGAAAACCCTTGTTAGAACGGGTCTTCAGCAACCCATTCTTGATGTAAAAGGTGACTATGCCTGTCGTAAGAGGCGACTAACGGGATCGGTAGGTCAGACTGTCATCGTTACCCAATTGCGTGGATCGATGCTCCTGATATCAATCACTGGATTGTCTGGTCCAGGCAGGAATATTGCTGAGTGTGGCGTTAAACAACAAACAAACTTCAAGTGTTTGAATACACTACGCTTCTCAACGCTCGTGAACACATAGGGCCGAATGTGGTGTAGTGGTGACGGGTGTCGAAGTCCAGCAATGAATTGATGCCGTGTATTACTCGTGAAACTCAAATGAGCCACAGTCCGAGAATAAAGTTCGTGTAATATCTTTGGTTGGCTTATCTTCACATTGCCGTTTGTGGGATGTTATCTGAGCGAGGGGCGGTCGGGTAGCCCAGTGGTTAAAGCGTTCGATCGTCACGCCGAAGACCCGGGTTCGATTCCCGACATGGGTACAATGTGTGAAGCCCATTTCTGGTGTCCCCCGCCGTGATATTGCTGGAATATTGCTAAAAGCGGCGTAAAACCATACTTACTCACTCACTCACTCACTTATCTGAGCGCTCATTGGCCAGAGACACTGGAAGTAAAAATTTGATTGCTTATGTCTTCACGTTATTAGGTCGTACGTGATCCGATATGATTCTGGTGCATGCTTAACTGTCACATGAGTAATGCTGCTTCTGAATGCCCATTACATGTATTCCATGTATAAAACTCTGTAAATGAACTATTCTAACCCACCAACATCTACGACTTGGTCTGGTCTGCTCCAAAATGACTCCGCTGATAAGTCGCATCTGCCGCAGCATTTACAGGTTGACGGGTCTGAGTATAAAGATCATATACAGTAAAGTACGTTTATAACGAACACGCTTATAACGAACTGACGGATATAACGAACTGATCCCCCCCCCCCCCCCCCCCCCCCCCGACTATTTGCTATAGTTATGCTGTATATATGCTTATAACGAACTACGGTTATAACAAACTAAAGTTAGTGGTCCCTTCGAGTTCGTTATAACCGTAGTTTTCTGTATGCTTGTCCGGAGACATGCATTTCCGAGTCGCCAAACGGGGACGTGCACCTGCGGCGTTAAACAACAAACAAACAAACAAGGCATCGAGTTCATGAACACCTGTTTGAAACGGTTGAATCAATGTTTTTGATAAGTGTTAGGTGTCAAGGTTGTGTGAATTATGGTCATGGCATAATAGATTGAGCACACCGACTTAAACCTTCTGACTTAACCAACCATTTCAACGATTAGACTCTCGTGATGTAAACTTTTCCTGATACGCGCACCTGAAAGATCCTCCTTCCTCGGAATGTGTACAGTGTCATACACATGAGCATAGTTTCAAAATACTCACCAAAACGTATTTTCGCACTGATCATGATTATATTATTCTATTGATAAAACGCAGGCAACAGAGTAATAACGTGTCCCACAAACTCCATACAGCAAGCATTTCAAGGAGATTTATAGGCCGCTTCAGTAACAAAGTTTTCGTGCGCCTCAATATGATGAATGAGAAATAATTCTGGATCTTCGTTACTCAAGTGTATTTTGGGTGGAATTGACGGCCCATTTTTCTGTTTTATATTAAGCACTCATGAATCTGAACGACAACAAACATACTTCTTAGCTCTTATTCGAAATCGATTCGTCATGGAGAGCTGGCTTATTCATGAGTAACGACAGTAATAGGTACGGATAAGATGTACGGGTTGGCTTGGGTTGTCCTAGCCATATCCGTAACAAACCAAGTCAACCCATAGCCAAGGGCATCCAGTGGGACAAAGTCAAAGCCCTCACCACCAACCTCAAAGGCTCAAAATAAGAAAATTTACAAGAAGCCATCAACATCAAAAGACTCCAAACATCAACCAACGTGATCAAGGCTATTACAAAGCCCTGCGTACCATAAACTCGTCCAAGATCCTTTTGTTTATACTACTGGCTTCAGCGGTTAAGATGTTTACCCTCTTGTGTACATAGCAGGCTTCTCCACTCCAGTGTAACTACGTACCAATCTACTCAACTGCATAAACACTGTCTCATACCTGTATATACGCTTGCCAACCATACTCTGTACATCACTTGCTTCATAACGGTGTTGGAACCTACACCGAAACGTCGCTTCCTATTGTTATAAAGGGGGCGGTCGGGTAGCCTAGTGGTTAAAGCGTTCGCTCGTCCTGCCGAAGACCCGGGTTCGATTCCCGACATGGGTACAATGTGTGAAGCCCATTTCTGGTGTCCCCCGCCGTGATATTCCTTGAATATTGCTAAAAGCGGCGTAAAACCATACTCACTCACTCACTATTGTTATAAAGAAGTTATTCATCCATATATCTTATTCATATTTAGTACTCCCAACTTCCGAAAGCATTGTCAGGTCAAGATATACGAGTAGTGTCTGTCTTCGTTCTATCACTGTAAAAAGGTGGGGCTTTGTCCCTAAACTCGCTATGTACGCCCGCTACGTCAGTGAGACGCTTACCCGCGAAGATCCGGGTTAGAATATGTCTTCAGCGACCAATGCATGCCGTAAAAGGCGACTATGCTTGTCGTAAAAGGCGACTAACGGGATCGGGTGGTCAGGCTCGCTGACTTGGTTGATGCATGTCATCGTATCCCAATTGCGTGGATCGATGCTCATGATGTCAATCAATGGATTGTTTAGTCCAGTCTTAATTGATCCAGTCCACACCACCGTCATATTGCTGAGTGCGGTGTTAAACAACAAACAAACAAACAAACAGTGAGACGTTTGTTTAACCAGGCCAGGTTGGAGTTATCTCCCGTGGATTGTGTACACGTTTAGTTGTGTGGTGTGGGATTGTTGTCTTCGGCTCTTAACTGGTATTTTAACGTTAATCATCAAGTACAGCTTCTGTGAGGTATAGGGCATTTATCTGTATACACATTTACTGTCTATTGCGAACCTATTAATTCATGATAAACATTGTTGTCAAAAAGAGCACTTCCCTTGCTTATGTTTACGCCAGGTGAGGTGAGTTTAACGTCGCGTCCAAGATTATTGCACTTATATAGCGACGTGCATGTACGTGTGTGTGTTTGTGTGGCTGCTTGTACTAGTCCGGACTGATGTCGATTTATAGTGCTAGCTCACTGAGATACTATGCCGCAGTTTAACATGAATACCCCACTCAGACACAGTATACTGACTCCGAGCCGAGTCCTTGTTTTAGCCCCTTAATGCCGAGCGCCATACAGGGTAACAACAAGTACCACCTTTTAACGTCTTTTGGCATGAAGCGGC